TCTAGTACGCTTTGAGTCTCTTGCGCGGTATACCTCAAAAGCTTTCCTCTCTTGATCATAACCCAGAGTCAATGCAGCCACAATGTTATAGTGAGATAGGACAACAGCTTTAGGAAGGCCGGTAGTACCGCTGCTCATGACGTATGCAGCAATGGTATGCCTAGAAGTTTTGTCGTCGGTGAATCGAACCCAATCGCTGTCCCCATATTCGAGAAGTCGTCTCCAGGATTGAAAGCCTCCGGGGATTGTCGGATCTCTATGGTCGAAGATGAATATACAATTGCAGCCAATTTCACATTTCGCAGCGCAAGATTGCATCTTGTCCAGGAAGTCGACCTCCGTGAAAATAAACCTCGGCGTGACTCGCTTCAATTGGTGAAGAGATTCGGCTTCACTATAGTATGGATTCGATCCACAAACAATTCCTCCAGCGGCAATGATGCTCAGAAAAAGGATCGAGTAGTCGATCTATTCCTCAGTACTTGCTACAAAGCATCATCGAGTACTATACTTACGTCAGCCATGGAGTTTATAAGCACACAATCCCCTTGCTTCAGCCCCAACGCATGGAAACCCGCCACGAGCCGTCGCACTGCGGTACGCGCCTTTCGCGCAGAGTACCATCGCGTTTCATCCAGCGTGTCGATGTAAATCTGCATGTATAGAGGAGAAGTCTATGTCAGCCCAGTCTTCTCTTCTAGATATAGCGTGGAACAGCTCGATTGCTCACCGGCTGGTCGACATCATACTTTGGGTTGTCTAGAACGAAGGATGCAATATCCTTCGTAGAGATCGAAACCTTGACCTGTGGACCGAAAACCATAATTTGAAAATGACTGGCAGTGCGAGTGAGGATCACTGGTGTTTACACCCTTGTTTTCAGACTTTTGAAAGCATTTGGAGAATATGAAGATCCAGTCAGCTACGGGCCCTGAGGGTGTGCGCGGAATGAATTTTCATCTCTTCCGAACGGAAGTATCCACATGAAACCGCCTATCTACAAGCCACCCCTCTGCTCAGTGCTAAACTTCGCACTTTGTCCCAAAGCCAGTTTCGAGCCTCTTGATGAAACTATATCTTAGGACAACATGGCGACTCTCAACACGAAGGCGTTCTCTGAGCTCTTAAAGGAGGTAAAGCAGATGATGCCGCAAAGTTTCCCACAGAATAGTTGGTACATAATGGTGGTGAGTAGCACCCATGTATTTTCTCTGATGCTGCTAATGGCACGACATGAGTGTCTAGACTCTCATTGACATGAATTAGGCAACCTCATTGGCAGCAGCTGGTAAAGGTGATATGTTTGGAGACTTATACCAGTATGCACTGGCACAGGCCAAATTCGACGAGGTCTATCGTAAGAATCTTTCGATTCGACTGCGTGAAGTCATCATAAAGTCCTGGACGTTAATCGGCATGCCTCGTGCCATCGCTGCATCTTACAGCCTTCAAGCTGCAGACCAGAAAGATGATGAAGCTGACAACATCCGGAGAGCTCAACTCATCAACGAGCCGGACCTCCCTTCGCAACGATCACAATCTTGGTTCAAGCAGGCTTTTCAAGACATGGAGCCGAAGATATTTTCTCGCTTCAGCTACCACAGTGAACTAGGTTAGTGGAACTGTCACAAACCAAATTGCCGCTGACCATTTCTAGAGTGGACATTACGATACGTCGTCTACGGCTACTTTTTAGGCGATTTGAGTGTTCTCACTCCAATCGAGAATGAATTTGTTGTCCTAGCTAGCGTGCTGCCAGCTGGAGGGTCGCCCAGTATCACTCACATGAAAATACTCCGGCAACTTGGAGTGAGTGCGAGAGATGGAGAAGTCTTTTTAGATATCTGTAAGAAAATATCACAATGGGCGGGAGTCAACACCACCAGTTGGCCGTCTTATGAGGCGATTGAGTCATGAAGACAAAGAGAGCAAAACCATATTTCTCTTAAGTACGAGCTAGTTAAGAAGCTTTGAATAGAAGACCAGGGACCTGACGCAAACACAAGACAATTTTGGGCCCGCCTCGAGACTCTACCATATTCTAACTACCTACGCCTTCTCGAATCGACAGTAGCGTGGGCTTACTGGTAATTTCTCTCTAGACTATCAACATATTCTCCTGTTGGGCTCCAGGCCAGGATGTTGGCTTGGCTTCTCTCGAATATGGAGGGTGGTTTTCTGTGCTCCTTGGCACGGGTCTCCTGAAAAGCCGCGAGTCCAGCCTCCTCGGAATGAAACCTCCAACTTGGTTTCCGATAAGGCGCTTGGTTGTTTCCAAGGACCTCTCTTCCTCAAAATTGCTGTAAATCAAAGAAGGGCATCAAATTTACTGCACCAACCATGGCGGACAATCGAGTCTCACAGCTGGCTGGACATTTTATTCCTTCACGCGGTTACCTTACCGGTCAAACCGCTATCGTCACTGGCGCTGGTCAAGGTATTGGTGCTGCCATGGCTGAGTTGCTCTCCAACGAAGGAGCAAAAGTGGTCATCTCAGACATTGATGCCGGTAAATTACCTCTGTTAACCGTACCGATATATATAACTTCGAAAAGCCAAAGCAAAGGCGGTGGCGGACAGGCTCAACGCCTCGAGTGGCGGGAGAGCGTTGGCTGTGCCAGGCGATATCACTGACGCGAGCGCCACGAGGCGACTAGTGCTGGAAGCCGTCAAATTTGGGAACGGCAAGCTTCATATCATTGTGAATAATGCAGGCTATACGTGGGATGCAGTAATTCATAAAGTAAAGCAGTCTCGGATTTAAGTTGTCGATCACTGACTTTCTGTAGACAAGTGATAAACAGTGGGACGCGATGGTCGCCATCCACGGTACTGCACCCTTCAGAATCATTCGCGAAGCCGCACCATATTTTCGTGTGAAAGACGGTGAACCACGGAGTATTGTCAACATCAGCAGTGCAAGCGGAATACACGGCGCACCGTAAGTGATGAGGGGCATCTTGATCTACTTCCGAGCAGAGAGGTATAACACTCCAGACCAGAGGGCAAGCGAACTATGCATGGGCCAAGGCCGGTCTAGTCGGCCTTACAAAGACAATATGTAAGGTTAGAAGTTCATTCTCCCTTGTTCAGCGATTTCTTTTATTGACAAAAACGCAAAGGAATGGGGCCCTCAATTCGGCGTCCGAGCCAATACGTGAGTTCGACGTGCCTGTGATAACTCGGGAGGTTGATGCTAACAGCGCGAGAATGTCCGGTGTATCGTTTGGTCACATAGAAACCCGACTGACAACTGGGAGGGAAAAGGGCCATACTATGACTTTGTCTGATGGAACCCAAGTGGCATTGGGCATTCCCGGCGCTACGCAGAAGTCTGCAACTGGCGAGCGTTATGCTGATATCCCGTTGCAGAGAGCAGCTACGCCCTTCGAAGCCGCCGGGGCCGTCCTAGCTGTTGTTAGTCCTTTGATGAGCTATGTGGATGGACAGACAATTGAGGTCACCGGAGGAAGATGGATATAGGATTGGTTCTCAGTAGGGCCCCGATCTTATTAAAATTTCGATCAATATTTGGTATCAAACTAAAATGCACTCTATCATTCCTGGTGACATCCAGACAATGATCGAAATGGTAGCCTGTCTTCCATATTAGACAGAATTTTCTCGAACGGTATAAACAATTCCCCTTTTCGGTAAGAGCACAGCTGTGTTAGAGTTTCAGTTTAAAGGAGCTCGATCTCCAATGTACCGCTTGCTGCGATGGCCAAAGCGTCGGCCAATCGCCTTCATTGTACGGCGGACAGCAAGTTGATTCCGACCCCTCACGTAAGATGAGTGACCGGCGCTCGGAAGCGGTCTGTTCCTCGGAACATAGTTCATTGAGGAAACTCCTTTTTCTCGTCAACTCGATAGGGCTTCATAGCTGGTACAAAGCTTCCGCCAACATCTGATCGCATTCATTCCCCGACCAGGTCGCCTTTGCGCTCAAGCCCGCTGGTCGAGCTGGTCTAGGCGCTGTATCTACAAGGCATAACTCCTCAATCCACCGTCCAAATGGGGCGAGCAGCCAAGACGGGCAAAGCAGCCCACAATGCGATAACAGATTTGATGCAAACGTACGAGCATCCGCAGTTTTTCCAACAACGATCTCATCTTGAAGCTGATCTGAATACTGGCTTAGCTATCACCAGCGCATGAGAGAAAGACACTTCCATGTACCCAAGCCTTCCTGCAGTTCATGGAAAGGTGACCAGTTCAGAGCATCGCACTAATCCGAGTGAACTAGTAACAGGGGTTCGAGAAGACTCTCATGGATAATTTGCGTTTGGAGGACATTGAGGCGGACGGCACGGTTGTGTTCAGCTTGTTTCTGGGGCCTGAGTTTCTCCACGTTGGAGGTGAGACCCGCGGTTGGCGATCAGCTCGACCTCTCCCCGATGTGGTGCTGATATCTATTTCCAGGTTCGTTACATGGCGGAGCAGCAACACTCATCCTTGGTATGATCACTTTTCTCGGAAGCTGTATTCATTAGCATTTTATTGACCTAGGACAGACCAGTGCACATCACTGTCGATAGCGCCGCACGCTGCTCCTGGTTACTGGGAGTGGGCATCTATGGGAGAGACTGCTCGTGATACATTTCTGACATTTTGCATAGATGGACTGGCGGCGTAACGCGGACACTTTCGGTCACATGTCTTCGTGCACCACCTGGACGTGAGCGACGACATCTCTCCTCTTGCTCGATTCAAGAATTCTTTGCTAATGGAGATCCTACCAATAAACAGATACTACGGTAAAAATCCGATGCAAAGTCATTTCTATTGGTCAGACCGCGGTGCTTGTTCGAGGCGAGATCGTGTCCGATGATGGGAAGCTTGTCTACGATGTTCTCGACCACAACAAAATCAATGTGCGGCTGAAACCGCGGGCACCTGGCTCGAAACTTTGATTAGGATTGGGAATATTGAAAGGTGCCCTTGTTGTTGGAATACCAGAAAGCATTTTCAGGCTGGAAAGAATATGCAGTGATGACCCTTTAAGTATACATCATATGCTCGGTGCTCCAAATTCCCATGTCAGTCCCCATCAGCGATTCATCATCAACTTCTGGCCCGGGTAGGACTGGTAGTGTAAATTGAGGATCGATAGAGAAGTCAAGATCCTGAGGTCCCGTGATTTCGGCACTGGCTCCCCGCTGGGACGCCACGTTGTTGATCATGGCCTGATCAACGGGGGGCTGATGGTCCTGTATGTTCAAAGAAGCCGTGGCTGGCTGTTCTCCAAGCGACAGCGGATTGCTAATCCTGCTCTCAATAATTCCTTTCAGAACTTTCAATGCATTGGTAGCAATTGTCAGCTGGCGACGACTCAGGTCATTTAAACATTCCCAGGCTTGTTCTAGTGACAGGGCCTTAGTGGCCTCGAGATCATCAGATCCGATGCCGTCCTCGGCTGAGGGCACAGACAGCATATAGTGGAGCGATTCAATGATACACAGCGTGGCATATGTGCCAAACGAGCGTTCACGGCGTCGGGTCCGAACGTATGATACAACTGCCTGAACGGTGGAAGCGGCAAGCTTGTGACATACTTGGGTTGTGTAACTCCGATCACTCCGTGAAGAATCCCATTCGCCGTCCTTCTCGCAACCTCGCAAGTGAAGATTGTTCCGTATCAACATCTGCAAGAGATTTGCCCTCTGCGGTTTTGTTAGTGAGACAATTAACTGGATTTGATCGCTTTTGGCAGGCTGCAGATGTGACTGAATGGCGGTGAGAAGTACGGTTGAATACTGACCGTATAAATCACCAGTCTCATGCGAACTTTTCGATCTGGTACATCAGCCTCCATGCTGCTTGAACTCGCTGGATCCTGCCATTTCATCCCTGGCGGGAGTGATCTCTTAAGCTTTGCCAATAAAGCCTCCATGATCTCTATTTCTTCAATGCTCCCAGCCCTAGGACTGGTCAGGCTGTAAAGAGAATCCCAAGCCTTTGAGAACAAGCGGCCCCACCCAATATTGAATTGTAGGTAGTGAATCCAATCGCCGTCGAGGGGTATTGACGCAATAGGTCCAGAAGGGTTCAAATCTCCAGTGAGGAGAATCGGAAGATGAACACGCGAGCTTTCCATTGCCCGTATGTCAGCTGTGAAATCAGCAACGGATACTTCAGCATCGCGAATCATATATGGCCTTCCCAGCTTGTACGCCATCCGTCGGTCGAAAAAGTATATGGTCCACCATAGAATACGACGAGATCGAGTTTCCGCGCAAGAGCAATTCGCCCACGTGGACTCGTCATTCAGCCCAAGAGAGAATGACAGCTCCACGGCCCTGCATAATGCTTGTGATGACCTTCTGAAATTTTCCCGCATCAACATATAGAGTGTTTCGAGCATGAAGAGCCGGACCGTGTCCATGATTTTGTCCGCGTGCCGCGAGGAGAGACTCAGAAGCCTTACGCCTTCTCGATACCAAGCTTGTCCACGGACAATCCGCTTACACGGACTCCCATCCGTCGGGGAGTGGCCATCAGCTTCGATGTGCTCTGCGATGGCAATTACCATGCAAGTGAGGGCTGCAAAGATCACCATTTCAGGATCCTCATCTGACAGATACAAGCAGTCCTGATCGGGCGAGTAATGCTGTAAAAGGCACTGCCACTGAATATTAAAGATATCTTGGTCGATACATGGGTAGAGGAAGTTATATTCTTCGAAGAAGAGATTCAGGAGGTACTTCAGACGTGTAGACGAAGATATAAAAGTCTTGACGTTATTTCGAGCGGCTTGCGAGCGGCATCGTTGAGCAGAGTTGTACGGACTTGTATTTGACGCCGTCCCAAGAGGAGCTTCTCTACCAGACGTAGCAGACGTGCCGCGCGATGCCGCATTCTTCAATGTCTCTATCTGGACAGCGAATGAGTTGTAATAACGATGGCCAGAGTGTATGCAATCAATCCTCTCTTCTTCGACGAGTTCCGGCTCAGTCGAAACGAAAAGTTGGTCGGAAAGCCTGGGCGGTGAGACTTCACTGGTGGTAAATGAGCTCAAAGCACTGATAAATACATTTTTGTATTGTCAAAGAATGGGGAACCATAGCAACTGAGCCCGACTTACGCGGTATGTTTAACTGCTCGAAGGTCTTGAACATCACGTTCTATGCGCATGAGGCGCTCAAGTAGAGTATCCGCATTTGAAGGGATTGTAGGCTGTGCCTGATAAGAAATTGGGCGATTTGTCCTAGGTCGGCGTCAGACTGAGGCACCGTGTACCAGTTGCTCATTGTAACAGTTTTCACCAGGATCAGACACTGACACTTGCTTTTTTGGGTCTCCCTTTCGAGCACGCCCTCTTGGCCGAGGAGGTTCTGAGGGGTATACACATTTGGCTGTTGCAGAAGCGCAGTTATAACATGGCTCCATCCCATTGCACTATATGGGGAAAAGTCAGGCCACGGCCTTGTGAACATCAGTCGCACAGCTTGCCTACCCTGACTTTCCGGCGATGGCATTCCGTGCTAGATGATATCCGGTCAGCATAGAGCCTCTTGATGGGCTCAGTCGTCATACAGGTGTAAACTCACCAGGCACGGGGTGTGTATTTTAGCCTTTTCCCCCGAGGCTTCATGGTAGGTGTTTGGCCTGTTCTGACGGCGGTCAGACACGCAAGATTCGGAGAGGCCATCACTGCTGCAGACAAGAAATATCAACCGGTAGCATGCTTCAATGTGAGTATGTAGAACTCTACGACCCCGAGTGATTCAAGAGCGACGTCGTCCGCGGGGGTGGATGGGAGAGAAAAATGCGGAGTTGCTCAGACGCTGCCTGGAGTTGTTAGCTTCTACAAGTAGCCCATTGATGCTGACGAGGGAGAGTCCAAAGCAAAGCTAAGCTGCGCCGGGAATAGACCGTCCTCGGCACTCCCCAGCACCTCCCGGCTGACCGGGGTCTGCCCTTCTGAATTTTAGGGGTTGTTGAGGTGGCGCGGCCCAGGTCAAGGCACTAGTCTAACCTACCCAGTAGGCTACTGTGACAGCTATCAACAGTTGGTTGGTCAGCAGCGCCGTAACAGGACCACGTTTGTAAGGATGGCAGCGACAGGAAAGCTTTCAGACAGGTCTGCTTGACACAGGCCAAATGTCTATTAAAACACAAGGAACTCGCTGAAAGGAAAGACAGACAGACGTATGGGTTGACGGATGGATGCTGCTCACTTGATGTAATGCAGATGACAGTTCTGAGTCTGACAGGAGCCCCAAGCGACCGAGTGCCCGGCCGCTGACGTCGGCAAGTGATCTGAGTTCCTGAATATCGACTCAGCTTCCATCTGTGTTCGAAATTCGCAGCCTAGGTTTTTAGCGTAGCTGCTTGTGCGCTTCACTTCTTTGCTGATTGCTTAATTCTGCGACCACCAATGCTTGGTGTATTCATTCACGGGATGTTGAACGGACTTTCCGCTGGCGAAGGGATTCTTTCAAATTGACCATACGGTCCCTATTCTAGAGAAAGGTGGAGGAACCCAGTGCCTACAAGTACATAGACATAGTGTTCGACATAAGGGGCCAGGCTGGACTAATCAAGGCGAGCTCAGCGACGAGGTTACTCCCTTAGAAGGCCAACAATTTAAACGTCGTCGAGAGCGAGTGCCTGGAGAAAGACCAGTCCAATCGACTTCAGTCTCTGAATTCGATTGGGGGTAATCCTACGGATTAGCACTCTGACTGTTCCAAGGCTACTGAATGAGCATACCGATGCAACTTTCACCATCACAGGCAATGGGCGGCTTTCAAGTTGGACAGTGGGGCAGACGTCCTAGGTATGTAGTTCTCACTGTTCTCCTCTCGAAGAAACAAGTTGTCTTTGAGGAACCGGAGTGACGTTGTGCACGATCTCTGGCGGATGGAAAGCGGTCTGAGCAATCATGTTAAAGCTAAGGTGCAAAGGAAAGCTTCCTATATGGCCCAATTGGCAGAGGGTATGCGGTGAGAGAGAGAGTTCATCCCATTTATCACCTGTTTGGTAGTGGTTGATGTGCATTACACAGTTGTGGAACTCTTGCACTCGATGACCAAGTATAAGAAAGTACTGGTGGTTGCGTTGAATGGACCTGCCGTGAGTGCAGACGCTGCATTGTTCCCAGCCGTCACTGGCATCCTGTTAGCATCTGAGTCGTCCTATCTACCGACACCTTTCAGTCAGCTCGGCCTGGCTCACGAATTTAAATCCGCAACTCACTTCTCACACTCCATGGGTGTACATCGTGCCGATGGCTTCTGGCCGCAAATGCCCGGTCGAAGAAGAAGCCAGTGGGGTATCGTAAGTAGAGTTTTCCCAACAGCTACTTTTCACCAGTACGCTCAGGCATTTCGCGAAGCACAGCTTCGGGTGGATGACGGGAAAAGTATTTGGAAGCAAGGAGGTCCTAGCAGCAAATGGACATGCTTGACAGTGTTCTCTTGGAAATTACCCGATTCCATTTGCCGTCCTTAAGCTGGGCACGTAATAGCAAATTCAAAGGAGAGAGTGAACAAAGCTAAGCTATGAGTGAATTTTGCCGATTGCGTTATGGCCCAAGCACGGATTAGGACATAGATATGGTAGATGTCCATCCTTTTATAAGCTTTGGAGACTATACAAGACGGAGTCGTCGTTATGGCTCCGCTCTCTTGTATTCAACTCGCGACTCTACCCCGCAGGCAATCAAGGTGGATAAGGACAAATCACACTGCGACATCTAATCGATTCCTGGAGTCGTTAGCACTTAATTATATATTGAACTAGGGCGAGGCTACTAGCCATGGGCATTAACTCGTACGGCGGTGGGTATAGTCTCTTCCCAACGCGCACACTTAACTAGGGGAAGTCCTCTCTATTAGTAACTTGGTTGCTTGTCTATTGTATGAAAGATAGTCCCCCAGAACTATATAAGAAAAACCATAGTCTAGGGTCGACGCCCCAGCCAATCATAACGCTATCCACCACTTCCAACTTCTCCCATTACAATATCTCTGCCTTAACCCCACAGCCAAGGGTTGGTAACTTAATCATATCGAGAAGGCCCAGTTGTTATACTTCGGCTTTGCTAGTAGGTTTCGGAATAATAATGGAACATTATTCCGAGAGGACTTAACTTTTTCAGGCCTGTTCTACACAGGTTATCCGGACAAAACAATCTCTCAGATCTCCACACTCATACTCTTTTACTGGTACAGTTTTGAACCTCGCAATGTCGTCAGCTTAGAGACATATTGGTGGTGGATCTCTCAGTTCGGATGCCGCAGAACACCGGCTTGAATCGAGGATTAAGACCGGGCCTGCAGCCTCTCGATTCTGTTGCTCTTGGCCCCGGCGGATATGGTGGACATTAATTGTAAGCGCCGACAGTCGAGCAAAATGGCTAAGGTCTTATTGTGCCGATACTGATATGACACGAGATTCAGGTCAGAGACCGTCTAGCCGCTCTAGCCTTTATAAGTCTTACGGGGACGTATAATGACTATCAGGACGACAAATAGGGGCGGCACTATAGGCACCGATTAATTCTAAAAGGGTCCGACCAGTGCTGCTCCCACTTGCTGAGCCATTAATAAGTGTTGGCCACCTTAAGAAGGCCTAGAACTGTATTGGTAATGCCGAGCAAGCAACCCTATTACACAACAGCCCTTGGACCAGAGACGTCAAAGGACCTTCTCATCTTATGGATCTCTACCGACTTATCTAGACAATCTAGCCTCATCAGCCTTCATGACCCTGCGGCATGGCTCGAGAAGCTTGAAAGACTCCTCAATCAAGCCCGGATATAACAGTTGCTCATCCAGAACCGTGCGGAATGACAGCCAATTGAGAAGGCCGATGCCACGGCCGATTCCACGGCCGAAGTGGGCGGAATTCCATCCATGTCGGCTACCTGAGCCAGTCAACGTGCTCTGATCTCATGTCAATCTCTCTACAATGGGAATCTCTAATGAGGCAGAAGAAGAATATTCGAGCTCCGGTGTTTTTCACCCACAGGATACAAAGCTTTCGGAATAGAATTCTCAAACGCCCAATGAAGCGACGACAGCGTAGTCCAGCCGATGGTATTGTGTTCATGTCCTGGGGTGGGCGGGGAGAAGGGCATTCAAATAGAGAGCGACTCGTTGATTCTAGATTGGTTACAAATGGCCCAAGCCATTGTGCACGAAGTGCGTACGGGGCTGCAAACATTCAAACCATAACAATGTCCTTTCACCTAACGGGCCGAGTTTTCGTGGCGGCTAGAGGAGCAGATGGTATCGGCCTCTCGACAGTGAAGGCTGTTCTGGACAGAGGCGCTTCTGTCGCATTATGCGATATCAACGAGAAGAAGTCGGTCGACTTGCCGCGTTCCTTGGGGGAGTGAGGAGCAAGCATCAAGATTACTCATTCCAGAAATTGGATGTGGTTGATCGTACAGGTCAAAGAGTTCCTGCACGCCTCCAAAGCTCGCTTTGGCTGCGTAGTTGGGATCACAAATATCTCCAGCGTGATCGGAAAGTACTTTGGGCTCAAAGCATTGTGATAGCAGGTGCCGGAAGAGTTTGATTTTGTCATGAATGTCAATGGTCAAGAGGCTTTCAACTTCATCGCTGAAGCAATGACGCCGGATTCTCAGGAGGAACTAGCAAGCTTTGTTAAGATAGGTAGAGTACCTTCCAGCCGTGGCTATGTGAAAGGTGCTATGTACCATGTCACCAAGCACGCCGTTGTCAGACTGACCAAGCGCGCGGCAATAGAGGGAGCATCTCGAAACATTCGGTTCAATGCCGTTTTGTCGTGGATTCCCTTTCTCGGTTGAGACATATTGCCAAAAGAAAAACATTGCTGACTGTTATTCTCTACGAGGACCTACAACTCCAATCTGTTGAATTTTGCTCACACGAATTATGGTTAGATGAAACGGCCCAGCGTGTATCGGCAATTGCAAACACTGACCGAGACCTTGGAGCTCAGTAACGTCATTGTATTCCCACTTGTCTAGCAGCATCTCTGCTTTCATCTCCGTTCCTTTAAGAAGCATGGTAGACGGCGCACCTAGTAAGAGTCTGAGAAAAGGCCCCACAACGAAAATTCTCAGTATTGGCGCCCAATAAAATGTGTGCAGGCTCATCTCAAAAGGATGTCCGCCTTTCTAAGAATTATCTGTCTGCTATGATATTCAATAGGCGGGAGTCTCTAATTGCTATCGACGGATAAAGAGTTTGGATTATGCCAGCGTTGCCGAAGAGCTGTAAGCATTTCTATCGCCTTTATACTACTGGGAAACGTCTGTGCCATCTCTCCCAAAGCTTGTATACACAGGTTCAGCATCTCCTGCGATTTTCTGTACCCTTCTGATCGTGTTTGGGACCCTCGTATGTAGGAGGCACCGTCTTGAATGTGAATTTGTCCGGCCGTTAAAACGATATGTATCGCTTGGACGTTGATGTACCTGAGACCATACTGTCGCCGATACAGGATCAGCAACCGACATATTGGAGGAAGCAGCCTCAATGCATTTTTGACGAGAGTTACCGGACTCATCTCGGACATCTATAGTTTGAGGCGAACTTTTGTCCGCTGGACTGGCAGTGGAGAAAAAAGGGCGGTGAAATAGGATGATTGCCTCGTGTTATTGTAGACTAGTCGATGACCACGGGTTAGAACAATCTCTCTCAGCTGTTTTAGAGCGGTAAAGCTATACTTCAGCTCAATAACTTCCGAGGGATAAGTACTCGAAATGGCCTTCTTTTCAGATTCCTCTATTCGTAGAGCAGCTGGAAGAGCACCGAGCCAATTCTGAAGTGATAGAGTAATATCTTTCGCGATAGTCGGACTTCCATTCAGCGCAAAGGGTCTCGAATAGCTTGACGGTATCAGTATTCTCCCCGTGAATAGTGATATGCCTAGTACGCACAAGGTTTCCATGACCTTTGAAATTTCCACCGATAGACGGTAAAGATATACGGGGACTCCTTCTGCCCCACTTTGGCCTGAATCACTCGATAATTGCGTGGGACTATTGTCGATGGGGGGATTTTGCCGCGGAGACGAAGGCTGGACCTCTTCGGCGGAGATGAACTGTATCAGATTCTTCATTGAAGCAGGACGTCCTGTGCCGACGCTCCACAACCTGTGGCGTATTAGAACAGTCACTAGCCAGGTATGCCATACACAAGTAGGGACAAGGCTAATCCGGGGGGGAGTGAGATTATTAGTGCCAGATGTGATTCATACATGTTGGACGAGCAGACTGCCTGGAAAATACTCTTGTACAGGAATTTTAGCCCACCATCATCCCGCTTTCTCGAAGAGGGTATGACCTCCTCATGACCTAGATCAAGATGGAGCCCTAGATCGAAAACAAGGTGTACCGTCATTTCTGTCAGCCGAACGTTAGTTTTTGTGTCACCGCTACGTCTCACAGCCTGTATTGTCTGACCCGAATAAAGCCAACCTGCATAGCGGAGTATAAGATTAGCATGGGACCTGCAGTCACTATCTGAACCCGACAGATGTTAACTTACCTCGTGAATCACGACCAGCCGCAGCTTCAAGAGATGACAATATCAACAAAGCCTGCAATGTGGCAACTCTCGGACAATCCATCTCCAAATCTAGGAAGACCTTTGCTCAGCAGCCAAAGAAATCAGGAGGGTCAAATATGTCGGGGAGACTTGCACATCTTCGAGAGGCGTAGGAGGCGCCCACGGCTAGGATAACATTCTCCAATGCTGGTGAATAGAGAAACGTCTCCTTGAACAAGTTATAGTCTTGTTTTTAACGAGAATATATGCGCTCATCAACTACACACATATACGGGTTATACGAAGTAAAAAATAGGGTAGTTAAATATCCCTCGTGACTAGTGCCTTGGCTGCCTGCGCCGCTCAACAAAGGCATGGAGTGCCAAGCCGCTAACAGACATTACAACAATGCACAAAAGACCTTAAACAAGCCCTGCCACCTCCGCAGTTAACGTGATCCTGGTGTTCGGCAGAGATGCTATTCGCTTTTGAGCCAGCAGGTTGATCACTCTCGATGTTGACAAGATTGGTGCCTTGTATCTGACTTTGGTAAACAGCAACCCCGTCTCCATCCTGGAAGGTTTAGTAGAGTTAGTAAACGCCACGGGGGGAAAAGCAGAATCAGGGCCTTTAAAGGCTCCAAAGGTGAAAACTAATTCACTCCAACAATAGCAGCCACCTCCTCAAGCGCTAAGTGTCTCGTGTTCGGGAACGAGATGCAGATTATAACCACATTGATCGCTGATAAAATTATGAACGGCAAATAGTAACGCCATCCAATCTCACTGGGAAAGATGATTCAATTGTGTCAGTCACCATCAGGAAGAGACTTTCCCCATTAAAAAGCATGGGAACAAATGCGTGGATGAAGGAGCTGCGGGAGACAAGACATGCGCGAATGTGGTGGGAGCGGCGCCCGTCCAAGCAATATTGCTAACAGCCTGCGTGGCTAACGCAATATTATATCCCTTTGCGCGGTACGGAGTAGGAAAGATCTCTCCCACGTATATGAACAGCAAGCCATCCAGGAATGCCCCGTACGCAACACCTTAGAGGAAAATAACGGCCACTCCACACTCCAGGATCGCTTGTGTAGGCGAGGTCTCCGAGGTCGCCACCATCGCCGCCTCGACAGAAAGGCACGCCATGCAACCGAAGAGGCCAATAGCGGCGTAGGTCGGCCGCTTGAATAAATCCACGAACAGACATCCGCAAATGTTTGCAGCCCAGTTGAGTGTAGTCCACCCGGCTTGATAAAGTACTTGCTTCTCTGCTGAGTATCCTAAGCTTTCGTAGAGGAGCGGACCATAATCTAGGGAGAAACACAGGAGAGATTAGCAAAATCGCCAGTAAACGTAGTCAATTCTTGCTGAACTTACTGAAGATGACCAGAATACCTGATGTCGCAGTCATAAATGGCCATATCATGGCCATGACTGTCCTTTTTGTCATGTGACGTGTTGCGAACATGCCTTTATATGACAAGTCCAGAGCCGAATCTAGTTCCGCCCGTCGTCCAATCTGATAGTACTCGGCCTCGGCAAATGAGTCGTGTAGATCATGCGGGCTTTTGTGTAGGGACTTGAGCAACTTATGTGCCTCCTCATGGCGGCCATGGAGGATCAACCATCTTGGACTTTCAACAGTCCAGTGACTGATGCACACGAAGATGATGGGGACGATGCATCCAAAGGCTTCGACAAGCATATTTCGATGTCAGTCCGATCACAACCATCGGCATGGAGAAGCGAAGAGAGAAGACCCGAGAGATTGCGTACCGAGTATGGGACGAAATGCTGGTTTAGGCCTGTAATAGAAGAAAAACCCATATCCGACGCAGGAAGCTGTAAAATACCCAAGGATCATCAAGACCGTGGCAATTTCCATCAGCATGCTTCTTTGGCCTGGTGGTGCTAATTCTGCGAGCCACATTGGAGTGACGCATAGTACCGTGTAACCACTAACTACAGTGTTAACCCCGGGCATGAACATTTCGTAAGAATCATGAGGTACAAACCACATCCCCAAAACCGCAAATAAACCGTGAAACTATGAACATAGCGATATGGATGGAGCCGGCTAGGAGTGCAGAGGAAATGGCGAGTATAATTTGGGCTTGGACCGAGACGTTGCGCCGTCCCGAGCGATCCGCGGCATAGCCTACGTAGAAGGTACCGAAGACTCCACCGACACAGTACATAGCGTTCATAGCACCAAGTAGCTGGGTGGCATTTGGTGTGATGTCCAAACCCATGTATTTAAAGAAGGAAGGTTGTCCAGAAATGGTGCCGGTGACAGCACCTGTGTAGCCATATCCCAGGCTAGCGAGAGAAATGGTGAAGACAACGAGAAGTGTGTAACTATTAAAAATGTCTCCTTCGAACTTCGGTAGCTGTGGTCATGTTGGGAAATGCAGGGTTGGAAGACCTATAGTATTTGCTTGAGGGGTTCATGTAGGCAAAAGGTAAGAAAGTCTGTGGTCCCGTCGAGGAAGTCGAGTCTTGTAATAAATGTTTCTACCAGGAAGCTCTATGCCGGGGTAAATGTTCATCGCTACAGCGACAACAGGATTCCACGGGATTACTGCACTGGGCGATGTCACTACTCCAGGATAGGTTGATTCCGGTAACTATTTTGTGCTTTGAGCGGCCCTTGGTTCTGCTTTCACCAGTGGAAACACTCTCCCTCAATCTTGGACGATCGATACTAGCCTAGTCTTCCTGATCGCGAAAGGTGCCACCCTCCATCTAATATTTCCCGGTCGAAAAGAACGGTGTGTTGAATCACGTCCTCGAGCAGTTGAGCAGAAGATTTCTCCTTTGTCGCAGGCACGAGGACTGTGGTTTCCTTGTACATGAGACCAACGTGGGACCTATAAATTTTCATCTAGTTGTGTACTGCATATGTCGAAGCAGCCAGGATACTGGAAGAGCAGGCGGACGACATTGCAGCTACTTTGCGCCTACTTCCCAAGCCAGCCAGTCACATTCTATATTATTACTCTATTATATACTAATAGAATATTGTTAGGGGGCCCTATTACCACCATTCGGAGTAGCACTCAACGGTTGCGGATGAACTGGTAGATGACAGCGTCCGGGAGTCATAGAACCCAGATCACTCGCTCGTTGAGAGAGAGAACCACTTCTTGTTGACAGGCGGCCAAGTGGCAAGGGCCTCGGCACCGATCTCGCTGGTGGCCAAGGCATTGGGCTGGAGGATAGACCAGTTCTCTCTACCAACTTGATAGCTCTCGCTTTCCCGGTTCTCTGTCTGTATCGTGAATAAACTAAACAATCGACGCTAGAGTCTTGTCATAGGCATGATCCAAGCACGAAGCACACCTGTCTCTACCTCAAGACGATAAATGCCCGTCAGAGCATTGTACCCTGATCCGTTTGCCGTCGTCCAATCAGTCCAATCCAACTTGAAACTCGTCATGCCTCGCCGCCATTGACATGAGATACATCAATCTCGTCTGTGTAGGGAATCGCTTCTTGGGCGCCTAGTTGCTCAATGTTGCGCGCCGCAGCCTTACACTCACACTCGACTACTTTTAGGACATTCCGTTCCCCGCCGAGATGCTTCTGCAGGATGTATTCGAGGGAGTAGTTACCTATGAAGGCCGTAGTTGGTATTTTAAGACTTGCAAATCAAACAAGATAATACCGCGGGTAAGGAAGGCTTAGGTGCAAGCTTAGGACAGGAAAACTTCCCCCGTCGGTTTCACAAGCTGGGTAGGGTCGGCTCGCTCCTTGTCTCAAATAATGAGCGGTTTATGGAGCTCCGGGTCTGAGACCGATTCTATTGTTTCGCTGAGTGAGGTCAAAGACTTTCCAAAAATGCAGTCGGTTCCAGGAGCGATCGCGTCCACAGGGGCCCGCGTGATAAGTGATATGCTATGTACAACGAAGCGTGCGCAGGTATGGGTGAAACGGTCCATCAGGCTGTCGTTTCTCTTCTTTCTTTTTAGTCCTTTTGACGTGGATTAGATCTAGTTAGGTACCCGCAGTGCTTCACTTGTGAGAGTGAATACTTATGAGATGCTAGCCTCACTGCAACTGCAAATACGGTCCGACACGGTACATACGTGCTTGATAAGTAGCATGCACTGTGTTACATAAAACCTGCTTCTAAACCGTTGGGTCGCATCTACGAGACCTTCGGTCCAGACGCAGGCCACGAACAGACACGAACATCATAGATCCGGCGTTCATCGTCGTAATCCTTCCAGCATAAAAACTTCAATGGTCTCCAGTAAACGAGGAGATATGTTCAATGTGTGAACAAGGGTCTGAAAGGTCCCTTCGATGACATGAAATCTGGCCTATGTGCAGTCTTGAAGAAGAACACTTTCAAGCTAACACGCTAGAAGGTCAGAGTTCGCCAAAAGGGAGCAAACAGATACTAGAACGAACGTACCTGACAGTGTCCCCGTGCCGTACATGGATTTTGAAGAAGGGACCATCTTTCCATACCTTTCAGCAACCCATCCTGCCAGTGGAGGTTTGGATCAATGTAGAAAGTTAAAACCCATTCTTCCCATAGACCCCCGGATTCTAAAAGCACAGCTGAGGTGAGGTTTCAGGTCTGTTGAAGGTGACAGAAAATTAACCATAACCAAAAACAGTTCCTCAGAAAGGAGCTAGGCCTGAATGACACTGCGTTCGAAAATCAAGCCCGCATATTTTCTGTGCTTCGACCGCTGAAGCATCCCAATATACTCCTTCTTATCGGCTGTTACGCCCATGGCTCGAAAATCACTTAATCGCACCTTTTATCAAAGGCGAGACTCTCAAAGCACTAGAGAGTGTTCCGTATCAGAAATATGAAGTGACCAGTGTAGCTGACATTTTCGTCCCGGGATGTATCATTGCTAACCTCCCTATCAACTTGTTGAAAGGAGTCTCCGTCGTTCAGTAATTTCGACACGCACGGCAGTTCCCAGTGGGCCAGGTGATTTTCAGTCTCTACCACAAAGGCGACCGCCTCAACGAGATTGATTTGGATCAGCCCGAGAATATTAGGATACCTATAATAATCCCAGAGCCCTGCAGAACAAACACAGCAAAGAGGCTAAGACGCTAACGGGGAAGGAACGTATAAGGATCGCACGCTCTCCCCCTTTTCTACTCAAACCCTCTTCAAGGCTTCGAGTCTCTGTATATACGCTGAGTATACGAAGGATATTACTGCTAAATACTTCTATTGATTCGTCTTTTCCCTAACCGCCTTCTCTAACAGAGAATTCATTAGTGTGACCTGCCAAAAGAAGATAGCAAATCTCCGGATATTAAGGCATTCTAGTTTGGCCTCAGGCCCCAAGCCCACTAGTAGCCCAGGCACGTTGGTGGCACGCACCCACACGCACCCGCTGTTTCGCTCAAGCCTCGATGACTAAGCAGGGTAACCCCTCTGTCGCCTGTTACCGCTGTCCTTCCTAGACGTCTCACCATTCCCATTCGCGCGCAACAGTCCCGTTCTTCTTACTAACACTTTAAGTGGGCTTGATAATTCTGGGTCGCTTTGTCATGCGGGGGCGGACTGCCAGACTTGAACTGGTTGGTGGGTCCAACATACGCTGCCGAACCTGGGGGTCTTATATTCTTGCGATCTCATGTCATCAAAATCAAAGAGATGGGTAAAAGTAATGTAAGGCAAGAACATGTCGACTTCCACCTCCGCGGCTCCTGGCTCCAAATCGAAGCTCCCGGAGAGATACAAGCGAAAGCTCACCGAGGCTAGAAGGGAGCAGAATCGACGGTCACAGCGCGTCTGGCGAGAGAAGCAGAAGCAACGTCGAGATCAGGAGATCAAGGCTAGAGTCGCGCAAGAATTGTCGAGGCGGGAGAGAGAACATGCGCAGCGACCGTCGACGGAGCCGCTGGGGTCTGGTGAAGGCACATCTGGCGCTGCCTTTCTAGAGCCGCCTCTTGACGAAATATTGACCGACACCAGCCCCGAAAATGCTGCAAGCGAGCCCACCGCGCTGCCAGAGCCAGTTCTTCCATTGAAAGTTGCGGTCTATTACTACGTCCCGCCAATTCCGGACGCGATTGATATGCGACACTCGTGGCCCGTCCCCGACGACCTCGATTCGAAGACATACACGCTCCCACCGGGCGTTACTCCCTTGGAGAGCCCTCTGGACAGGCTGTCTCCCTCGCTCTCTCCCGTGAGACAGATCTCGCCATACCAGCGCTCCCCTCCGCCTTCCCTTCACTCTCACTCATCAGCATCACGCAGCATATCACGAACACGGTCGTCCCTCCCATCACCCTATGTGAACAATCTCCAGCTTGTTGGGGAATCCTGTTTCGCGGCGACCATGTCGATTGCGCAAAGCCTGGGCATTTCAATCGTGTCCTACGTCAACGACCACCCTTCTCCGTTTTCGACAACTTCCAATGCAAACATCCATACCATCCCCGTCGACCTCCGACCCACGGCCCATCAACTCATCCTTCCCCATCCGTCATACCTGGACTGCATTCCGTTCCCCCACTTTCGGAGCATGGCCGTCTATCTCTCGAGTGTCAGGAAACTCGACCACATGAGCCTCTTCCTCGACCTGATACACGACGGCATGGTCTGCTGGGGCCGGGAGCGCGCCAACGGGTACTACGGGATGAGCATGCGGGACGGCGTGGCATGGAACAAGCGGAGCTGGGAAGTCAGGCGCTGGTTCTGGCGGAAATGGGCCTGGATCGCACGCATGACTGTCGAGGACATTGACAGCGCCGGCAGCGCCGGTGTCATCACGCAGCAGTCCGAGGAGGAATTTGACGACGAGGATGGGATGTTGAGCGGCAGCCAATGGTGGTGGTCTCTCCACGATGACGAAGAAGGATATCATTCGCCCATCGGAGGAGGCGCGGCGGCATCGAGCTCGTCAGAGGTCCTTACCCAAGACCAGCCGGAGGAGCTGGGCAGCTTGCTCAGCCGCCACGTTGTATGCAATGTGGGAATACGCCAGACGCGCGAAAACCACTTGCTGGTGAAGTGGGAATAGCGAATAGCGAGTTACGAGTCTCTAGGGGGTAATGGTGGCTGGTTCCCTCGCTAAAGTGCTCAAGGGTGCTACACATCGCAAAATGGTGGACGGGCGGAAATAAAAACATAAGAGAAAGCAAAAATGCCACTTTTACTCCCTTTTTTTGGTTACACAATGTAACTGTTAATATATGTGGTTTGCGCAGTATAATATCCAGAATTCTTCATCCTAATTATATAAGCCCCTGCTATGCAGTCCACCGCATCAGATTTTGCAAGACAACTGATAGCCACCCTCTCGCCACGATTTGATGCTCGTCTTGGTCATAGCCACCACCTTTCAGGACTATAGGATTTAGACTGGTTCTCAGAATCCGTGTCTGTCAGCCCAGTCGAGAATTACATTATACGCTCCCGTGGCATTGTAATGCAAATTAAGCCCGTGGCCCGCATTTGGTTGAAGATAGGTCTCGACACTGCTGCTCGCATTGAACGACTGCACCGCGGCACTGTCTGGACCGAAAAGCCCTGTACAATTTGAAGCGCAGAAGATCAGATCCTCTTGAGAGGCGAGATAAAGCACAGGACCCTCGAAGTTTGGAGCGTCCAGAGGCAAGGCAGATAATGTGAGAAATTCGCCAAATGTGAGTGGATATTTGGTTGCCTCAGCGTGTTCGAGTACAGCCGGATCAAAGTATGGATATGCAAAGAAGGAATACTGATTGCCGTATTTGTCTGGCCAAGTAAGGAAGCCGGAGGAGTAGATGCTTGACGGGAAGCGTTTAGGTTGGTTGACATTTGCAAAATGCAGTGCCGAGTTAGCGACGAAGAAGGTGCTGTAATTGCTGATGGCAGAGTAGCCGGTCAGCACCACACCGTCAGTGAGATCGGGGGCGATCGACGCGAGCGACACGCTCAATTCGCTACCGAAGCTGTGGCCGACGTGGATGACTTTCTGCGGTACGGGGACTTGCGAGATATTTCCAGCTCGTGCGAGAGTTGTGAGGCCGACGAGCAATGCAATCTCGACAGGGCCTTGGATCTCCGTGTAGGGGTCTGCAATGGTGGAGGGCTCGATGCCCAGACGATTCCAAGAAAGCGTGCTGTATCCGGCGCCGATGGCGCTGTTGATGTAGGAATACCGGGCATCATTAGGCTTTCCGGGAAGATAGAAATCCCAGTAGCTTCTGTTAAAACCAAGCCCGTGCGTGAGAATGTGTAAAGTTGAGGCTTTGGGGCCTGACTTGGCCGGAGTACAGTACTCTGCACTAATGTTGAAGGTCTTTGTCAGGGTGGTTAGATTCACATCCGGAGCAGATGGCGTCCGAAGCGTGATTTGGTTTGCAAATGCTGTCGCAGCATATTGATTCGGAAATTCGGGGATAGGCGGGACAACCACCGTGACGTTGTTCACCGGCACTTTCACCATAAAGTTCGTACATGTATAATTCTGCTTGGGGACAGCTTGAGCAGTGGCTTCAAGTGCTGGAAGGAGGAGTGACAACCAAACAGATGTGAAGAAATGCATGGTCGCGTGATATTGTGAGGCTTGTATTTGAGAACTCGACGGGAACCCAATGCACAATGTCCTTCACTCACCTAGATGGCATAGCCGCTGGAGTTAAATATGTTTTGAAGAGGGCATTGTATTCAAGAGAGAGCTGCGCCATTCTGCCGCGCACAGATCCTTCGTCGCCGGCCTTCTGTACTTCCAGCAGAATATCGCTATGCATGACGCCAGAGAACACGACTCAACGTAGCAGTAGTGGTTCCTGTTTCAAGCACCATTGGTGACGTCCGAGGTACCAGACCGGCTCACCAGGCATTAGGGAGGCTTAGAAGTTTACCTACAGATTAGCCATTGTGGATTGACGTTGGGATACCTCAGTTCGGCAAAGCGTCACCAATCGCGAAGGTGCTGCAGCAAAACTCTGGGCGCAAATATTCCGTTCAAGCTGCTTACCCACTCCACGGCCAAGAGCATCGGCGTGATGCCGGAAAGGCAAATAAATGACAAATCAGGCTGGCGCATCCATCCGTACCTGAAAGAGATTGAAGACTCGGGCTCCGGAACCGATCAACACCTTGCGTCGATCCATCTCGGCACGAAGAAAGGGCAGGCGAAGTGACTAATGACAAAAGACCGGCATGAGAGAACCGAAGGAGAAGCATGGCGCGCAAACCAAAGGCTCGAGGCTGGCGAGTTGCAATAGTCGGATCTAGCTGGATATCAAATTAAAGTCTATGGTCGTGCGTGATTCGTCGTCAGGTCGTCTAAGCGGGTAGCGTTTTATTTCTTGTAGAGCATTCCTAGGACCGAGTGCGCCATTTCATGCTGTCATGCTGTTAGCACGGGCCTTCGCAATCGAATGATTTGGAAAACCTCACATCCTCGTCCGTCTCACAGATCAACGTGCGCTTCGTCTCGCTTGTGCCGATATCCACCACGTAATTTCCGTCCGCGCCCTTCTTGTTCTTGTCGTCATCAATCGTGAACCCGAGGCACGACACTTTATCAATCACCACTTGTCGCACGTACGGGCTCTTTTCGCCAATGCCACCGGCAAAGACCAAAGCATCGACTTTGCCACCCAACTTGACAAAGTAGTTGCCAACGTACCCAACGACTCGGTCAACAAAGATGTTGAACGCGAGCTTGTGGGAGTCCGGAGCGTCTGGATTGGCAATCTTCGAAAAGTCTGAGGTCCCGGTCAGCGCCTTCCAACCGGATTGTTTATTCAGAATCTCTTCTGCGGTGGAGATATGGAGATCCTTGGTGCTGTTGGGGCTCAGCGCACTGGCGTCTGAAGTGTAATGAAAGACTAAGCTTGGGTCGATATCTCCGCTCCGGGAACCGCCCGGTAACCCTGAGACGGGGGTCAAGCCCATCGTGGTGTCTATTGACCGTCCATTCTGGATTGCGCACATGGATGCACCGCTGCCGAGGTGAAGGGCAATGATATTCGTCTCGGACTCTGGCTTTCCCAGGAACTTGGCCGTGGCTCTTGTGATGTATTGGTAGCTCAGACCGTGAAAGCCGTATTTGCGCAGACCCTTCTCTTTTGCAATCTTCTGGTCAATGGCATAACTCTTGACGTAGTCAGGCATTGTTTGGTGGAAACAGGAGTCGAAGCATGCGACATTGATGACATTGGGTAGATGTTCGTGGCAGGCGATCATGAGACTGACAGCGGAGGCATTGTGCCTAGATGGCGATCAGCATTTCGCGAGGCCATGGCCCCGAAGTGATCGAGTACGTACAAGGGCGCAAGATCCGACAGCTTGTTGATCTTGTCAAATGTTTTCTTGGTGATGAACTGGCTGGCTCACAGTTAGCCACGGCCCAACGCCTGTTGCAGGTGTCTTTGCGCACTTCTCCTCAAAGCTCCCCCCCTGCACCACTCGATGGGCCGTGTAGTCGATGTCATCCTTGCTGGAGACCTCTGGGATCTCGGTGTCTGCCAGGAAGGCGTTCAGGATATGCTCAAAGGCGTGTTTGTGGTCATTGATGTCGCCGAGTTCGCGGGTGTCTTTGTAGGGGCCACGAAGATATTTTAGGCGGGCTGGAGGGGCATTGATGGAAGATATTTCCGCGCTGCCTAGGCGCCGAAGACCTCTGGCCTTGCCCTCGGTGGCTTCCTCCACGAACAGTGTTGTCTTCAGCGAAGAACTCCCGGCGTTGATGGAGAGAATTACGTTGGCCATGGTTTGAAGCAGCTCAGAGGATCTCAATGCGGTTTGGATGAGACGGGGTGTTGACATGGCTTGTTTTGAACTATTCTGGAGACGGCCTGAGCATTGAGGACGAGCAACTAAGTATTGCATGAGATCACACCACATGGCTTTGGCGCGTCTTGCTCACCTTTCACTGGGCAGATGTGCAGATCCGGGTGTCAGTCAGATTCGCACCCACACCACCTGTTGCACCTGTAACCCTCCATTGGCATCTGAGAAACCGGGATGATCTCGATCAATCAAATCTGTCTGATGAAACCTTCCGTCAACATTCACAGCAATTGGCATCACGCCGGCGTGAACAGCCGTTTGTTCCGCCCGCTGAGGTGATGATGAGACAAGAGGCAGGTCTCAACTGCTGAATCAATCGAGGCCCATTCCACCTCCTGTGGCCTTTGTCGTGAACCTTATTCTCCCTGCTGGCTGACTGTGCAAGAGTTACCCAAACACGCATCTTGAATTGCTTGGTAACCCATTTCCTTTTTATTCAGCCGCGAGTACTGGCGTCTTGTATAACCCCCAGAGGCCTGTCAACAAGCCTGGTGAAGTGAGCGATAGTCCAAAGCCAACAACATTGCTGCTGCCATGATCTTTCTACAGGAGATGATCTCCTCCAGTGAAGTCTCAAATTCTAAGGCATCAAGCTCAGACTGCTGGGTGACTGGGAACCCGTCCAGTTCTCACCTTGATGTACTCGCATCTTAATCTCCTCATCAAGACCCATGACAGAGACATGTTATATGTTGTCGGGCTGGGCCATGGTGCGCCGTCTATCCTTGCTAACCTGTGGCTTGAAGGCTCCTTGGCCAGGTTCTACCCTCATTGTTCGCAAGAAGCCCACGGCCTGTACAACCTCATCTCCAAATTCAGCACGAGAGGCGGCGGATTCCCAAGTTGTATCAGTGCTGAAACACCTGGGGCCACCCACGAAGGTAGAGAACTTGGATGCGCTCTCAGCGTGAGTTCTGGTGCGGTGATAGATAACCCAGATTTGATTGACTGTTGCATCGTAGGCGACGGTGAGTGCCAGACGGGCCCTACTACAGCGGCCTGGCATGACTACAAGAACATCGACGCGGCCGATCCCGGAGCAGTCTTGCCCGTTGTGCACGTCAGCGGCTTCACGATCAGTGAGAGAACCATCTGAGGGAGAGTCTTCGTTCTTTCGGATAGGCCGAATAGTTCAAAGGGGACATTTTCGTTAGACTCCGCCAATATTGGTATGGACTGACGCGTAATTGCAGGTGTATGGATGACAAGGAAATGTCTGCCTTGTTCACCGGTTATGGATATCCACCGAGAGTTGTGGCTGACTTGAATAATATTGATGCAGACCTCTCTAGTTCTAGGGAATGGGCTCTTGCCGAAATCGAATAAATACAAACACCGGCCAGGACTGGCAGGCCCATCACGAAAGTACGGTGGCCGGTACTGATACTTCGTACTCCCAAAGGATGGTCTGGCCACAAGAAAGCCCACGGTCAAATCGTCGAGGGCTCATACAAGACGCACCAGCTTCCTCTGCCTAAGGCCAAGACTGACCCCGAGGAACTCAAACTGCTTCAAGAATGGTTAGAGTCATATAAGCTAAAGGAACTATTCAAAGACAACGGTGATGTAATCGACGATATCAAGTTCATTATCCCCGAGACCCCGAAGCGTCGTCCGCGTCAGAAGAAAGAAGTATTATATAGTGCCTATCGAGGCCTCAAGCCCTTTGACTGGCACAAATTTGTTGTCGAAAAGGGCACTTCGAAAAGATCCATGAGAACAGGCGGCAAACTACCCGAGCAGATCGACAAAGACAATCCTAAAACCTTCCGGATCTTTTCTCCCGATGAGTTCGAATTTAACAAACTCGATGCTGTCTTGAACTCTGCAAATCGCAATTTTCAGTGGGATCAATTTTCCAGTGCGAGGGGTGGGCGTCTCATTGAGACCTTGTCCGGCTCTAATGTCAAGGCTGGTTACAAGGCTATACACACACGGGTCGAGTTGGCTTCTTCCCAAGCTGTGAGGCTTTTCTCAGCACAATCCAAACCATGATAGTAAAGTACGCGAAATTCGGCAAGATGGTCCGCGAGTCAAAGTGGCGAAACAGCAGCATCAACGATCTCGAAACGTCAACCTGCACCACCTCGAGGTGTTACAGAGACAAATGTTGTGCCGTTCCTAGTCAGTTGACTAGCCTGGTTGTTGAAGTAGACGCCTTTGGTGTTGAGACGTGACAGAGACGACGTTCGTCCTTAAAGCGAGGTATGTACTTGACACCTTTGAGAGTAATTGTTCTATTGCCAGAAGGTGTTCTAACCTTGAGGTTTACGCTGCCAGCCTCGTCGGCGTCGCAGGTTCCCGTTCCGGCTACCACTTTGAGCCCTGTCGAAAGCGGTTGGACGTCGAACAATCTACTCCGGTCATTCACAACATGGATCTCTGAGCCTGTGTCCAGAATCCATGCGTTTATAGCCATGGCCGCAGAAGGGGGGGAGCGAAAGTACCTACAGCGAAGATCGTCGTCGGAGCGTCAGAGCGTCAGAGCCGTCGCTATCGAGATATATCTCTGCAGAAGAGGAAGGTTCCTTACAGCCGTTGGCGGCTTCATTTCTGCGGAATTGAGACCGTCTAGCGGTATTGTTAACGCGTTCAAGATGCCTCTTGAGCCTAGGCTTCGACCTCAGCGTCTCTGCTATTCTGTCGTGCACGTCCTTATTAAGCTGCCAGCCTTTTGGGCATACAGCCTTGTTTAGGTAGGCGCATTCTCTAAACCAGTGGTTTTCGCCTCATACACAAGGCTGTATTGGCTTGTCATTCTATGGCCTGTCCTGCTTACCTTGGAAGGTAGTAAAGGCTCCGTGAGAGGCCCTTCCAGGTTGCGAGTCGCGTGGACTCTGTATCTTCTGTCTAGCCTTGCGGAAGTTGGCAATAGGTAGGTGATAGTTGGAGGACTATTGTCTGGAGCATCTAGCATCACTTAACGTTTATCTCTAGCCCGGTCCTCGTCGATATTGCTGACGGCTGCGATGAAGTCGTATTGAGCCCTGTCGCCGTGAACTTCTGGAAGTTTGAGTTCCTGGGCCTGTTGACAGACAGCCTGCCATTCGCCGAGTCATTTATCGACATTAGCTCGCTTACGAGCCTTAAAAAGGCCTTGATACTTGTCACGGTAGTATTGTTCTCTTGTTGACTTTGATGGACACACTTGCTCCTTGAGATCTTTCATTCTGTCCCAGTTGTTGTTAATGGTTGACCCTCGGAGGTAAATGAGGAAGACCTTGTTGATGGACCCAATAATGGCATCAAGCATTCTAGCTTCGTTGCTGTGGTAACAATTACTAGCCGAGGTCTTAATTTTATACTGTTTCCAGTCCTCGGTGGAAAGGTCTTCTGTGTCCTCTGGAGGCTCTGGCCTAGTAGCCAGGGAAGGGTCCATACACTTCCAGTGGTTCAGGCTCTCAGCTTTAACCTTGATTACCCAGAGGCCGGGCTGGCATTGGAGCCGAATTGACCGTCGAAGTCATCGCGCGGCAGACCTGATTCGGTCGAAGATGCCTGGCCTGCGCGTCTGGGTTGTCAATGTCACGGATCTCATGATCCTGGAGGCGTCCAGCAGCCACCCTCAGGCTTTGACGGATGATGCCTTCGATGCTCTCTTCACCGAAGACGTCCCTATCCATTTCAACTATCATGGGTACGCGAACGAACTCAAAGGTCCCCGAATCGGGCGCAACAATATGCACCGTGTCACTATTGCAAACCACAACGAAGAAGGATCTACTACTACGCCTTTCAACATGATGCTTGTGCACAGCACGAGTCGGTACCACGTAGCCATGCAAGCCACAAAGGGCGCGGCGAAGAGGAACGAAGCGGCCAGGCTGAGATCACACGAGGTGACGAGCGAGTTAATGGGAATGATCAGCAAGATGCAGAATGATATTATGAAAGAGGAGACCGGTAAGCTGTAGTTGCTTCTCTCCCTATGAGACACCGAGGGTGGGCTAGTCTTGGGATTCTCAGATCCAGATTACCTCAACGAGATCGGGAATTTCAAACCTGATACAGCCTCAATGAGTGTAGGCTAGCTGGACGTTTGGGAGAAGAGGTAATTCTGAGAAGGATCTCATAGTCCGTACACCCGGGTATCGAGTGGGTTGGAAAATAGGAAAAAACATCAAATTGGTTAAGAACGTACTGAGCGAAGCGGTAGACATAATGGATGCAGCAAATGGAGATTTATATGAACTGCTTAGCGGATGGGTCCCTGCCTTTCTTCAAAAAGCGATATCGCCGACTTTCTTTACTCCTCCATCACAACGAGGAGCCCGTACACTTGTTTCTGCACCTCGGCCACATCGACGTCGTGGTTCACCAGGCCTTGATCGAAGTCGGGGCATTCATCGTGGTAATACGCAAACGGGGCGCCCAGGGGCTCTGTGAACTCGAACAACAGCATCCACCGCGTCCCGTCGTTGTCGGCACCGCCGGCCTTGACGGAATTCTGAAAGTTGACTCCGTCGTATGACTTGGTGGAGCTGCCGGAGCGGCTGGCCTCTTCGTCATGTTCGAGGAGATGCATGGCCAGCAGGCTAGGATACGTCGTCTGGAGGATTGTCCAGCCGTCACGGCGTAGCCAGTCTTTCAGCTTTGTGCGCATCTCGGGGGTTGAAGGGGCCTGGAAGACAGCGTGCCGCAACGTGCCCCCGACGCCGCCGCGCTTGCACCCTGCAAATTCCTGTTGCGACATGGACACCAATACGCGGCAGGCCGAGCGCTGCGTGTCCCGCATGACGTGCATGTACTTCTGCGTCCCCGGCGTCGGGTTGTTGAGCGCGTGCATGTACTCCGCCGAGGTGAGCGCGTCCAGCGACGACGCCTCGTATGTCACCAGGTAGTGCGAGCTCTCCTTTCTAACACCACCTTCCTCGCGCGAGGCCTCTAATCTGGACTCGTCCTCCACGGCGGAGCTATGATAGTACCGCCGTGTGCGGTGAAAGCCGGGCAGCGCGAGTCGTTCTGGCAAGTGCTCGTTTGTCCACCAGTCGTTCAGGTGGCGTTCTGATCTCGGGCTGTTGGTCTGTACCTGGCCCCAGATTATGAGGACCGCGGGGCCGCGGAGCAGAGATTGAGAGGTTGAGGAAGAAGGCATTGGCTATGATTTCAGAGCGACAGAGTGATGAGATCGCTTGATGGTGAGGCCTGGGATCTGACAGATAGAACCGGATTTTAGCTCAATGTGAGTTGAGGTGGTTGTCACTGTCGGTTGGCATCGAGGGAAGAGAGAGTCGAGACTGACAAGGACAAATGGTCGGCGGAGTGATACCGGCGGCTTTCCGTTGATGCGTACTATCTTGACTTCTGTGTCACTCACATACTCTCCCTACGACATGTCGCTTTGAAAACCAGCATCTTGGTTCTTGGAGATGTATAATTCTCAGGAACTGCTACACTTTGCCCATAGCTCCAGGAAGCTCAATATACTCTTCTATCATCGAATCAACTTACTTCCAGATTTCTTTCTGCTCAGTCCTAGAGGGCGACACTTCCAGAGGTCGACCGATCGTCATTCGTGAGGTCCTGCCAGTGTGCTTCTCAAGCTGCGACGCGGCTATGTGCAAAGTTCTGCACATGGAAGTGAATCAATCTCTTGGACACCACCACTTACCTTCCTCTCAACAACGTCAACGCAGCAGCAATGACTGGAACGACGCTCACGACTTCCCCAAGCCCAGCATATGCTGGAGGGATACGCACGTAGACAAACGCCCCCCCTGCGAGTAAGATTGCGAAAATATTGTAGACCGCGGACCAGAAAAAGTTGAAGATGATCCGGTGAAAGCATCGTTTAGAGATGCCGAGTAAAGCAATCACTCCATCCAAACCATTCAACAATACCACGTCGGCTGTGGCTCTTGTAACATCTGATGTAGTGCCAATCTGGACACCCACGTCGGCCTGAGCGACAGCAACAGCATCATTAGTTCCATCGCCACAGAAGAGCACAACCCTGCCAGAGGACATCAGCGCTTTCACATATTCCTGTTTTTCGGCAGGAGAACGGCGTGCTGCCGTGTTCAGGGCCGAGATACCGACAGTGTCCGCAACCTCCTCAACAACCCTGGGACTATCGCCGCTCACAATATGGCATACGATATTGCGGCGGTGAAGATTTGCGATGACCGATGTAGCTTCGTCTCGGAGACTACTCTTCAGCCCAAATGCAGCCAGGAGATCGTTGTCGAGCGTCACACAAAGAAGGGTCATTCCGTTGTTGATGAGTGCTGCGATTTCTGGCCGGTCTTCAACCCCCAACCAGTACGGATTGCCAGCTTTTACCAATGAGTTTTTCCACGTAGCACGTATCCCTGAACCAGGAATTGACTCGGTGTGTTTTAGGTCGTCCAAGGTGGCGACTATCGCTTGTATGCGGTGGGCGACTGCCAAAGACACTGGATGCTGATTATCTTTGGTTAAGGCTTTGGTAAGTGCGAACACTTCATTCTCAGCTACATTTAGACGGGGAAACACCTGCTCGTGGACGACAGTCAAGTCTCCCTCGGTAAGCGTACCTGTTTTATCGAAAACAACATCGGTGACTTTGTAGCTTTTTTCGATGGCTTCGGCTTGCTTGATAATAACTCCACTTCTCGCAGCAACGCCACCAGCAATGACCAGAACCATTGGAACTGCAAGTCCCAAAGCACAAGGACACGATATTGCCAGTACAGCGATGCCGTAAGTGATTCCGAGGCCGAGAGCTCCACCTATATCTTCGCCACGAACCTTCACAGATATTGCCATCCAAATGGCGAAAGTGACAAGAGCGATAGTAATGACGACTGGAATAAAATAGCTAGCCACTTTGTCAGCTAGGTCCTGGACACGTGGTTTGCTTGCCAGGGCGTTCTCAACCAAATTGACGATATCTGTAATGCTGTTCTTGCCGGGAAGACGCGTTAGGCGGATGGTAAGTGAACTGGGTCCGTTGACAGTGCCTGCGATGACCTTGTCACCGCTTGCTTTTGGTACCGGCACACTCTCACCGGTGATCATGGACTCATCAACAGAGCTTTGCCCATGAATGACATAACCATCCGTCACGACACGACTGTGGGCAGGGGTGACAAAAACGTCGCCAAATTGCAACAGCCTTGAGTCAATCTCAGTCGTGCCCCCAGAAGATTCGACAAGAAAGGCCTTCTCCGCCTGGAGTGAACGCAAAGAAACGGCAGAGACTGCTTTGACCTTCGCTATGGCGGCGACCAACCTTCCAAGAAAGACCAGCGTGATAAGCAGAGAACTGGTTTCGAAAAATTCACCAACCTCCAAGGTGAATCCGGCGTGTGTCAGGGAGAAAGCCACCACTGAATAGACATAGGCAGCTGTGACGCTGATAACGATCAGCATATCCATTTCGAGCACTCGGCTGTAGATGAGCGATTTGATTGCGCCCGCATAAAATTCAGGAATCGCCAGAGCTTGTACAAGCGTGGCAAGCACTAGAGAGACGGCCGATCGCGTTGAATAGGGAACAGGTGTACGAGCCCATGCTAGAACAACAACTGGAATCGTCAACACCGCAGACAGCGCCGTGAACCAAGCCATCTTGACAAGACGGCGTCTGCCCTCAGCTAATTTGGCATCATCCTGTGGCGGGGAAAGACTTGCTCCCCTGATAGAAGACAAGAGCGTTCTTGCGCCAATGATGGTAGGATCGTAGCTGATGCGAAAAGTGCCCTTGTCGAGTTGTTCAATAGATTCAGCCATAGCTCGAAGCTCCTCGCTGATTGTAGCGGGATCAATCCTCAAGTCTAAGGCTTGAAAGTCGCTTGTGATTTTCGAAAATTTAAATCCGGTCTCCTTCTCAACGCGTGGGATCAGCTGGTCCAAGTTCGTGACTGCAGTGTTGAGATCGAATTCAACCACCGCAGTCACAAAGGTGACTTTGATGGAAGACACTCCATATATATTCTTGAGAACATTAGAGACCTTTCTGGTACAGCCTGTGCACGTCATTCCGGCAATACCGAGGACGACATGTTCCCGAGCAGCAGCATCTTCGACATCGACCTCCTTCGTTCTGGTGGTTATCGACTTTCTAGGCCAAGGACTTCGGATCTCGATCCCGTCCTGCGAACAAGACAATGTATCGTCGCAGTCGCTAGCCTTGGCGGGAGAAGTCGTTTTATCACAACAACTTTTCCAGCAAGCCTCTGATACTTGACGGCGAACGGGGAGGTTTTCAGTGACTGCAAAAGCAGTGGATGTTCCAAAGGAAGAGACCTGGTCGTCAGCAGTAGCCATCTTAGGAACAACTTCTCCACAACAAGTGTCCAACCGATCCAAAACACTGCGGCAAATACACCGACCCTTCTCAATATAGCTGGAATATTCATCAAAGGCCTTCTGAAGGTGGTGAACGCAGGCTTCAACGGCCGTCTTTTGTCGCTTTCCTCCGCAAACGGTTGATGAGGAGTTTTTCGCCTTGGTGGAAATGCTGGTATTGCAGTATGAGGCGTTATACTCACACGCATCATTTGGTGCCTGGGTATTGCGGGCATCCTGTCTCACAGTGTAGCTGGTGTTCTTTTTCTCAGAGCAGCAGCCATCGCCTTTCTCAGCACAGCCCCCATCGTCTCTCTCAGCAACGATATCATGCTCATTAGGATTTCCACAGCTCTTATAGCCCTTTGTGTTTATGGAAGTGTTAGCCTTTGTGCTGCTACAGCAAGTAGCGCGGTTAGACACAAGGCTACTGCACCCTACATTGCTTTTTTTGCTACCACAAGGGTCACTTTCTCTAGGCTCAATATTGGTTGTCGATTTTGCATCGGGATCGCGGTTTGGACAGGCGTTTTCTCGGCCGCAAAGAGTAGATTGCTGTACGCTTTGCTTGTCGACAGAAATGCTGACCCCAGCTGCCGTGCAGCATTTATCAGGACATTCAGCAGGACCTCCTGTGGGCGGATGTTCCCGTTCTGTTCCGCAGGCAGCACGACACTCGATTGCAGCGAGCTTGCGAATGCAGCCATCTGCGTATCTTGTCAGAAATCGCAAACTGCGCACAAATGAAAGAAGTACTTGCCATCACACGCAGTTCGGCCGCTGCCACAGTCGACACAACAACCCGTGCTAGGAATTCGCGAAGTAGCATCGCCAACCCTCAGAGGATGGACTTCAGAAGTTCGTTGACCGGGCCGGCCGCCACCTGACATCTGAGTCTCCATACTGTCCCAAATAATGGCTACAGGCTCAGGTACCAGTATGCACAGTCAAGGATGGAGACGTCGGTTCGACGATGTGAAGGTGAACGACGTTGTGCTCAAGCGAGTGGCTGAGTTAAATCAACATCTGGGTTTACCTTGGTTGGTGCCAAAGATCCTGAGAGCACCGATAAGCTTATCTTGCATTTTAAAATGAAAGCCACAGAGCCCACTGGCTAGTATCGGGGTACGAAATCCCGAGTACTCTGTATACCTATGATCCAGATATATCAAAGGAACCTGAAATACGCAGCAGGTGTCCAAAGACTCTATGTCTGCCATAAAAAGATGTGGAAGTGATGCCCAGATCCTCACCCCCTAGCCCTCTATGTCTAGAGCAGCCTGCCGTCCGGCTGTCTACTCTTTGCTCAGTCATATGTTGCTTGAGACATGAATGGACTCCATTTCCTGATTGTCTCCCCATAGAAAATGAGTACTATAGGAGCAAAGCTCAAAGTAAATGCAATAAATGCCAAAACGCTGCTGGCCCACTGAAAACCCAGGTTGGTATACATTGACTGAGCAGCCAAAGGCAAGAAAGCGGCAAAGATGTTTTCTCCCGCACAAGCAGCAGCGCTTGCGCTTGCAGCATACTTCGCGTAAGCATCGGTGAGATACATCATGACAGCCTGCATGACGACCATGCTGCCAATGCCAGTAAGAGCCAGTCCGATAACCGGCAAGATCCAATGCAATGAGCTATAGCTTGTCCAGCCGTACCAAAAAAGTCCGCCGGCCAGTCCGATGAAAGAACCGGGAATGCTCATGTACAGGCGAACTTCTGGAAGTCGAGACCTAGGTGTGCGGCTTTCAGGTCGAAATGCCTTCTCGAACAGGTAGTTCTGGTACAAACATATGAGGAGGCCAAGAAACTCGCCGACCACAATTGCTGCTTGCACGTAGGCGGTTTGATGCTCTGGCCATCCGTACAGCGTCATGAAGACTTGGGTGACACTCTGCGATGAGACAAACACAATGCCGTAGGATAGTGCCGTCAAGAGGGTAAAAAAGAAGACGACCGGCTCCGTGACAAGAAGATAAGCAGGTCGCACAATGTTGTCTTTCAAGAATTGGACAATATTTGTATGATATTGTTGTTTCTCTGGTTCGGAGGCATTGGCTTGTTGGTGAGATGCAATTTTGGTTCGTTGCCGCAGGATGACAGGACCCCTCGTTTCTTTCATGGCGAGGAATATAAATGGAAAGGAGCCAAAGTAGATGCACAGTTGGCTGTAAAAGATCCTGACACCTGGTCAGCAAGCGTTTCACTTTTCATCAGCCGGAGAACTGCCTACCATCTCCAATATAAGTGTTCGTTGACAGCACCACCGATGACTGGACCAATTGTAACTCCGGCAAGCAGGGCAAACACGTAGCAACTGATTGGTAGACTCCGCCTCACAGGATTGGGGAATAAGTCAGCGACAATGCCATCAGTACCGTCCTGTAGAATTCCTGCGCAACAGCCAGCAAAGAAGCGAGTGGCGATCATTGTCGCGAAAGACTTAGCCACAGCTTGCGGAATGACGAAAATCGAAAATATCAAATATGAAATCTGAGCCCGCGGTCCTTGTCAGCACTCCAGATCAGTTTAGGCATAGAGTTGTGCAGATGCGACTCACCATATATCCTGGACGGACGCCAAAATCCTCCATTATCGGCAGCACGATCATGGGCGCTACAGCAGCACCAGTTGTCCATGCGGTGACGGGCCAGAACGAATTTGGGAAACTCTGATCACTAACACCAAAATATTCGCCTATCTCTATAGCCGCCCCCGAGACTGTGGTTGCGTTCCATCCGACAATGAAAGTTCTAAAAGCTTATCAGTGCGTGACACCTCGATGCAGGTCGCTATGATCTACACGTAGCAAGCCACACCTACCACTCTCCATCGTCTTGTAGCAGACCAATTGAACCTACCGCGCTTGTAAGAATTTGTTGGGGCTTGGGGCCTGGCTCGACTTACGGGTTCTCTGGGTCATGCTCGTCAGTCCATCTCAGAGCATTGGGCGGAGGTTCAACCGTGGACTCTGAAGGTTCAGGCGTATCGTCTAGACCCATTGAATTGTTAAGGAGGAGAGCAAACTTCGTGAAATGACAGGACTTCAGCCGCCATCAAAAGAGAACAACTTCTCGGCCCAGATTGACCAACTTTTATACTTCGGCTTTATCAGAGACTTATCAGCACTGTTGCTTTCGAACTCGGCTTGGCACTCCTAGGGGCACCTCGAAAGTTGTGTCCGCGCTGCTTCATATAGACATATTCCATAGGCAGGGTATATTGTGACTGTTGCCTTTGATAATCGCACAACCGTTTCCCTGCTCACTCAAAGCTTTGGGAACTCACAGGGTCTTCCATTTCAACTAGAAAGCTAACTTCGGATAATCTAATTTCCGGGACAATATTAATACGGTGAATCATAGAGCAGCATCTACTCGTCTTGGCATTTGGAGCTCCGCCTCCGCAGCTTCAACTTCAACTTGGGAGCTATTGTTACTACGACAGTCAAACAGCGCTTGTCTCGTGGTCCCAAAGTTGCAATCATGGCGAAACGAGACGCAAGGTACGGGCTCCAGACATGTGCAGGACGCGCGTGTAACTAACACTTTCTTCACAGGTTCAGCACCGATGTGCTGATTGACACCACTCCTATGCCTGACCACATCCCCAAAGTAGAGGAGATCGGAGCCAGTTCAGCACCATTACTGAGCGCCTCTTTCTTCATTGGAGCAAGATGTCGACCTTTCAACGATGACTATATGCAGTGTAAGACCGAGGCGTACGGTCGGGGAGAGTTGGATTGCATGCGGGAAGGGAGGAAAGTCACGAGATGTGCGGCGAGCGTGTTAGTGTTAACCCGATGACCGAAAAAAAGATTTGGAATCGACCGTGGATTGGGGTAAGAGCTGCTTGTGTTACATATTGCTGATACTGTCTGTGGATGCTGCAGATTGGCCGATATCAACAAGAACTGCCTAGAGGAGTTTCGAGCCCACTGGAGTTGTCTAGAGAACAATAACCACCAACTATGGCAATGTCGACGGCCAGAACGTGTGCTCAACAGATGTGTCTTCCAGAAAATTGTATGTTGCTTGATTCCCGCCCCTTTGTGACGGGCTCCAGTATGGAGCATGGACAGTGAGACTGATCGGTGACACAGGGATTGGAGAAGACCATTCCTGACACGCCAAAAGGCCAAACGCCAATTCATCTCCGGGACAAGCAACTTTTCGCAGATCACCCGCAAGTCGTTATGCCGTGGGAGAAGGATGTGGGGGTTAGAAAGAAGGACGCTGCTCAACCGCAGTGAACAGGCAACACCATAAATGTGCTGCATCAGAGATTCAGATTCTCTACCGAGTACTATGGGTGTTGAATACCTGGTTGAGTCCTTGGTCATGCCTGGAAAATAGAAGGCCATGTCAACGTGGAAGGAAGAAAGGCGTCGACAGATGGAAATCCTTGTACATATGTAACAAATGGCCACGACGGCGAGCCAAGGCTTCATGCAATGCTGGAACAGGCTGGTCGTGCTGCCCTTTCAACCTACTTGGTGCCTTCGAGGAGGTTACCATTTAGAAGGGTGCTTTTGATACGAGTGTCATCCCATCTTCAAAGCGATTGAGGAGCACATCGCTAACCCTGTGCCCGCGTGAACTGGACGGATAGGCTTTGAGACAGCGGCCACTTTGTGACCATGACATCGTGTGGATCGCCTAAACACAGACCGATATTAACGCCCGTCGGAGGTTCATTCCACCTTTTGTGGCATTCGCCTTTGTCATCACTCTTCCTCTGGTGTTGGGCATGCGTCGCCCTCGTCGTCGGTATCATCGTCGTCATATCCGATCTCCTCGGCAGTCTTCTTGCCCTCAACCAAATCCCTCAACTTCTCGGTCCATTCGGTGACCTGCAGAATACTCCCCTCCTCTAGCCCATTAAACCACTCATCTAATGGGACCCCCTGAATGTATCTTGGAAGCTTGCCGCGGTGTGCCCTGAGTCTTGTAAGCTGTTCCGATAGGTGTCCCATTGCAACAGTGCGAGTGGACGGGAAGCTCTTGAGTAGATCGGTAAGGCGTCCATTTGGTGGTCCAGTGACCCAAGATCCATATACCGGAGCATCAGGCGTGGAGGCTAGTAGATCAGACTTGACTGGAATTGGCTCAGGTTCTCTCAGACCAGCGGCTGTTCCAGAGCTTGTTCCTTGCATGCGTTGTGGCATAGTGGAGGGTCTGAAGGGAGCAGCAAGGCGACAGTTCGCGTTATGTTCGTCGATGTGGGCTGTGGTACAACCGGTCCCCTGACAGTTGATGAGTTTCTTGCCGTGCTTGCAGGCTTTGGGGACAATGATCTCTTCGCCGCAGCGATGACAAGGGATGGTCTTCGGGACCTGAGCGGATTGTGTCTGTCCCTGGGTTGCGGCTTTGTTGCGGCGGTTCCTTTTCTTGTTTGGAGGCATTTTTGCAAGAAGTGGACCTCGAAAGGAGAGCAACGAGATTCAGACTGTCGCTCTGAAGATATCTGGAGTTGACGATGACAACAAAATGGTGCTCAAGGGTGTCCGATCACGTCGGTATCACTTGGTTCAGTAAGAAGTGAACGAAAAATTCGAGACGGTGCAGTTGATGAGTCTGCCTTATTTGAACTCTGAGACTTCTCTTCTCGGCGTGGGCAAATGCTTGTCTCGGCGCCAGAAATCATGTTGAATTCTGCTCGTCGCGCTGGTCGTGTTAGGAAGTCTCGCTAGCCAGGGAGTTCAGCCTTGCGCAGACCACTCAAAGTAAGACGTCCACTTCAGAGCACAACTGTAACTTCCAAAACGTTCCCGATATCTTCGGCCAATATTCTGCATCAGTATCAGCAATTTCCGACTCGTCGACAGGCCTATGGGTGTGAGTTCAGTAGGTGTCCTTCTACCTTCCGGCACCAGCAATGTCTCAAGAGGACATCAGGTTCGGTCTCCGAGAGCGCACCTTCTGAGTCACAATTCTAGGCGCAGAGTGACGGCTAGGAAGCATGCTGGATGCTCCACTGTCCTGTCTCTATCCGTGAACGAGTAGGCACATTTTAGTGTGAGTGATCTTGGGAACGTCGTGGACAAGGCTGAAGTTTACAGTACGTTGACGTTGGGGAAACAGGCAGAAGGGACCGCTCACTCCGAGACCCCCCACAAGTACAAGTACACCCCTCCGAGTCCGGAACGGATAATCTTTTAGGTGTCACCGGGATTAACAGGCTCTAGTCGGTGAGATTTGCTTTGCTCAGCAGGTAAGCCGGACTGGGCCAGGGAGACCTGGAGGATCATCTGGCAGTGGCACCAGTGGCAGTGGCTGGCACCATCATCTGCCAATTGTTTCATGACCGCATCCAGGCCGCACACCATCGCAAGTCCCCTGACAGGTGGTGTCGACCACTTATTCTTTTCCATGTCTCCCTAGCAAATACCAAGGCTTTGTTTGCAGGGATATATCATCCGACCGCCATCACGGACCGTCATCGTCATGGCGCATTCGACTTTGTCGCCGCCACAGTCCCCAGTCTCCTCGACATCTCGCGATAGACCTCTCCCAATCAACCGAGCATACACTGCCCCAGAAAAGATGTCAGTTAATGGCCATTTTGCATCTGCAGGCCAGAATGGGACGGCAAATTTTGAGCATGGTGTTCAAATCGTCGACGAGGATAAGCAATTCAAGTAAGTCCCCTGGCTCCGGGCCCTGGACAATGAAATCTTGCTGACTCGTCGCAGCCCTGATCTGGCCAAGTATCTCAGTTACACTGGAGTCTCTCATGCCGGATTCAACTATCATCTCATCTCCGTCTTCGGGTCGCAGTCGACTGGCAAGTCCACACTTCTAAATGCCCTCTTCGATACCGATTTCTCCGTCATGTCCGAGTCAGAAAGACGACAAACTACCAGAGGGATATGGCTGGCAAAGAACAAATCGGCAACGTCAGAAATGGCGGATAATATCCTCGTCATGGACGTCGAAGGTACCGATGGTAGGGAACGGGGAGAAGACCAAGACTTTGAGCGCAAGAGTTCTTTATTTGCGTTGGCGACTAGCGAAGTTCTCATGGTCAATATCTGGGAGCACCAGGTCGGATTATACCAGGGCGCCAATATGGGACTGCTGAAGACGGTCTTTGAAGTCAACCTTCAGCTGTTCCTCAAGGACCGAAAGTCCACTTCTCGGAGTTTGTTATATTTTGTCATTCGGGACTTCCTTGGGACGACGCCATTGCAGAATTTGCGGAACACACTGATGCAGGACATGGGGAGGATATGGACCAGCTTGTCAAAGCCCCCCGGGTTGGAGAAGAGCAGCATTGACGACTACTTCGATTTTGCTTTCACTGCCCTGCCACACAAGCTATATCAACCGGATCAATTCAAGGCTGAGGTGGCGAAGATGGCAACACGGTTCAGGGACGGTCAACGCGACCGCCGAAGAGATGCATTATTAGGCGAATTTGATGGTGGCATCTTCCTTCCAGAATACCACCGACGAATACCGGCGGACGGCTTCTCCCATTACGCAGAAGGTATCTGGGATCAGATCGTGAACAACAAGGATCTAGACCTCCCGACCCAGCAAGAACTTCTAGCCCAATTCAGATGCGATGAGATTATGAGGGAGGTCATGGTCGTTTTCGATGAGGCGATCACGCCATTCGAGACTCAGCAAGCAGACGGAGCAAGAATGGGTAGAGCCGAAGCCATTTCTGGACTTGGGGCTGCCATGAGAGGAGCGCGAGCAGAAGCTATCAAGAATTTCGAGACTGAGGCCAGCAGGTACCACAAGGGTGTCTATCAAAGGAAACGAACGGAGCTGGAGAGCAAGATTGATACCAGGTTGAAGGTGCTCTTCGCTGGGCAACTTTCGGCCGCGCACAAAGAAGGCGTTCAACAGTTCTCCGATGCGGTCAGCGCGGCTGTCAAGGCTGGACAAAAGAAAGGAGCTTCATATGACTTTGCGGAAATAGTGAAAGATCAAAAGAAGATCGCGCTCGAGAAATTTGGATCTGTTGGGAAGGAAGTCACGATCGAAGGGTTACCATGGTCGAACTACAAACAAGAAATGGCCCTTTACCAGAAAGAACTAGACAAGATTTCTGGCCAACTACGACGGGACGAAATGCGGCGACTCGCAACCAGGGTCGAAAGATGGGTCAGGAGCAAACTCAACGACAGCGTCGGCTTGGAGTTCAACGCGCTTGGATCTGGCCGTGGTGGATCCGGTGCTCCCGAGCATGGAGATCGACCGGCAGAGAAGGAAATCTGGGACCGTATCTGGTCTTTGTTTGTGGCCACTGTGCAGGATGCTGAGAAGCGCTTCGCTGACCGAGCTGCTTCCTTTGACGCTAGCTCCGAGGAAGTCGAAGTCGGCATCTGGAGACTTAGAAGGAAATCTTGGGGCGTTCTGCGTTCTAAGATTGACGAAGAAATGATGGAAGGTAATCTCTTGCTGAAGCTTCGAGAGAACTTCGAGGACAAATTCAGGTATGACGAGGCAGGCGTTCCGCGGATTTGGCGCCCGACAGACGATATCGAGGGCATTTACACCCGCGCTCGAGAAAGTACATTGACCCTGATACCTCTCCTTGCTCGCTTCCGGCATTCCGAGACGGGGGCTCCACCACCTCTTGACCGGTGGATCGGACCAACTCCAGCAGCAGCGACTCCGGCTGATGAGGAGGATCTAACTCCCATTGGAGGAGTTGACGAAGAGGAAGGAAAGAGTCTGGAAGAGGAGACGACCGTGCTCAATGAAGCCAAACGGCAGGACTTGACTGTTAGGTTCAAGAAGGCTGCTGATGGAGTTTATGTCGAAGCCAAGCGTAGTGCGATTGGTGGTATGACGCAGGTGCCCCTTTATTTCTATGGTCTTTTGCTGGCACTGGGGTGGAACGAGATCGTTGCTGGTGAGTCGCGTGAAATTCGTCTCAGGTGTATCACTAACAGTACAGCAGTTCTTCGCAATCCCCTCTACTTCATGTTCCTTATCATCCTCGCCATCGCCGCTTATGTCACTTATACTCTGAATCTCTGGGGCCCGATAATTAAGATGGTGAATGCAGCATCTCAACAAGCTCTCGAAGAAGGCAAGAAGCGGCTTAGAGAGTTCTTAGAAGAGAATCCCACGGCGAGACATGCGGTGGCCATGTCCACGGGGCGAGATGAGTACGAAATGAGGAATTTGGACTCGACTCCTAGGGCGAGAAAGGTCAAGACAGATGGGGCTGATGATGAGGATGTTGATGATATTTAGCGCCGCAGTGAAGATTGTTTGCGTTCTACGGCATGGCACAACCCTGATAACAGAGCGAGCATTACAATGTTTGTTGCATAATGCAGACTGACCGGGTCGAGGATTGGAACAAACGACTTGGAATAGAAGGCAATGGCATGAATGTTGAGACGTTACGGCATGCCGTGCAGTTGTTCGGTCTGATGTGGATCGATATCTGAATACAAGTGTGCGGTTTGGGGTTGAGGTTGGCTGTCTCAATACGCATACATGTCAGCTGAGGACCTACATTCCCTTGAGTGATAGCTGCGTTCAGAAGCGTTCTAGCTCTGCCATCAAAACTCATTGAAGCGCGCCTTCGCGTTCGAGGCTGGATCCTGGAGCTGAAACATATTACATATCACAGAATTTTGAAACACTTCCGGCATGGCTCGTACCGTCCTCGCCTCCTCATCCTATCACATTCGGGGATAGCCGGGTCGCCATGACTGGACTATCAGGTGATGCGATGCGCCTTACGGAGCAGCACATCCTCCGCTGGCCGATAGATCAGCGAGAATCTCGATGTGCGCCTGGTGCTTTTCTACCTGACTCTCAGCCTCACCGTCGATCTATTAGACTTCCTTCTCTCTTTTATCAGAGCCTCCCGCTGAGGAGATCTTCAAACGCCAATTCCTCCTCTGCTGCCCCTTCTCCAAAAGTTGTGAGCCGAGAAGTTTGGAGCTCGCGATGAACTTCAGTGTTAGACGTGTGGATATGTTGCCTGTGTGGTAGCACCAACAACCGTACCTTCTAAAGATACGTTGCCCCGAATGCAATCAAGCCAAATGCAGACGTTGTAAAGATGCTGTTCTTAGGAAGCCGGAATCGTCTTCAAAAAGCCTCGATGCCCTCCCGCCCCCTCCCCCCAGCCCAAAATACCATTAAGGATGCAATCCAAAAGACGTCACGCCCTCGGGTACTATCCATGCCGCTAACACTCCCAAGGCTGATCTTCCTGTCGCACTCACAGCGAGTGAGTCGAGATCAGATGCCAATACAAAAGCCATTGGAAGCGAGAAGTCTAAATCTACGCCTCGAGCACAACATCCAGAGGTTGCGTCCAAGGTGGAATCGACAAGCAACTTGCCGTGAATAATGCCTCCACTCAAGCATCGAATGATCTGAATTAGGCTCTTCTGTACTTGCTGGGCACTCATCTGGGACGATTACCCTGAGCACATGGCTGACCACTTGAGAGCTATGGAGAAAGAAGCGAACGAATACTTCAGACGTTCAGCTAGTGGGACGAACAACATTCGGAATGGCGGATCGGGTCGTGAGTTATACTCGAACCAGAGAGGTTGGCTGCCGCCGGTCACGAAGTTCGGCCCCTGGAAGAAAGCTGCTGGCGAGCTTGACGCTGAATCCCAGGGGCAGAACAGAGCTCCGCAAGCCACGAATTTTACGTCGTACTATCTTACCTGCACACCAACAGACGGACGGATCCCTATACTGATTCAAGCACGCGCCACCTCCGTTAACTCGGACAATAAGTCCTTTGACATGCTTCAGAAAGCTGTCAAAAGTCTCAGGAAGTTGTTTGGAGGTATTTTAGTGCCCCACAAATTTTTCTACATCACTGCAATTGCCAGCCAGCGAAGTCAGGCCCGATGCCCACTCGAAGAGTCTTGCAAGCCTCACTCCCCGGTCCAGTTGTGAATTGCAATCTACACAACTGTTAGCAATGATCCAAAGTTTTGACGACGCTGTACACTGCTCACGATATTTTCTTTGTGTATTCTTAATTTCGCACGCTCGGCAGAATTCGGCTTCCAGTCCATGGAAAGCGTCATCGAGTCCCCTCTGTGCTGGGCTATATACCACTAGCTGAAAACAGATGAGCAGTGGCGTCGCAGCTGGTGCTTCAAGAAACGTGTGACTGACCTAGTCCTCCAAAACTCGGTGGCTTGCAGTGACCATTACCAGTTTCGGGGAGAGGCGGAAAGGGAAATCGAACTCATGCCCTCTTTGCAAGTATCGACCGACAATCTTCCACTCTGAGCTTTTGGCGGCCTCAAACCCTTCCTTTTTGTCGCCGACAGTCTAACGCATTCGTACCGAAACCTTATCTACTACGTCGGGTGAAATGAGCCATTCTTTTCAAGCACAGAGCACGAAGTTTCCGCATATGATAATAAAGCGATAAACAGACGATCATACTCAGCAGATCTTCCGGAGAACCTAGACCCAGCCATCATTTGCGATTATGGCTCATGCCGCATTTTCAGAGCAACACACAGCGAACTTGACAAGCCATCATCGTCTTATGACCAGACGACTGGATCAAGCTCTTCCATGCGAGTAAAAGGTGATCCTGCCAAAACACCCGTGCGCAAGCTTATGACAAGTTTAAATTTGAGAGTTATGGGCCCAACTGAACTACTGATACGATTGAATGGCTTCTGCCATACGATGTTATCGGAACTCCATACATCTGTGCTCGAAAACGTTCTGCCCACCCCTAAGAATTCCCATCCTTCCCGAGATACAAGAACAGGGAGCAAGAACTAGAGCAATACTCCTTCTGATTTTACGAGCAACAATACGAATGCTGGATGTTATTAGTTTGAGTGGAAACTTCCAGTTGGTCCGTTGGTTTACGTGGCTTTACGACACCAGCTTCCTGAAGCTCCATAGGTCTCTAGAGCACGCAACCCATATAAATGACCCTGAACGCGGAAAAGCTGCACAAGGATTTAACGGCCAATCTCTCATCTTGGCTTCGAGAATACGGGGCTCTTGTCGAGACACAACAAAACTCCTTGCCCTTGGGGGGCCGTTAGGACTTAGCCTCGATATCCTCCGTAGACGGCCCTCAAGTTCAAGAAATACACAGGAAAGAACGTGAACTTCACGATCTCGTTTCCCTTTCGACTAGATTTCCGCCCAGAGCGGTGGATTTCGCATCTTGGCTGTCTTCACCCAATTCTATAGTCAAAGCCGGTCTCCTGGTCATGGGGGCGCTCTCTCCTTGCTCAGTGGGGATCCCATACTGACAATGAGAGTGGGCAAACCACGTGCGTAGGGGGTAGGATCAAGGCTCTGTGAATTCGTGTCATTCTCTATCTCAGAGGGCTGTGACTTTCGTCTATGTATGACACAGGCTACCAAGGCCATAAGCTAGCCAGCTGGAAGGTGATCAAGCCTACCCCCAAGGTAGGAACATACCTCAGCGTAGGCTTTTTCTCTTATGTAGGGGGGCTACTAACCGCGTAGGGTTTCTTGCAGTCTCAGTAAATTTGGCTCTACAATACACAGGACTTGGTGTTCTGATGGGTCCAATAAGCCTTCTTTATATCTACAGCACAACCTGGGGATGAGGGTTGAAGTTAGCCCAGATTCTTGCTTGGGCTTCTCTATGTTGGATCTTTGGGCACACATTCTTGACGCAGGATTTCAGATATCTATTCCATCTGACTCTAGTGTATTATCCCCCGTTGTATTCTAAAGGATACCTTTTCTAATGATATATAGTGTCATTTGGGGGACCTGTTCGAATGCTAAGCCAGCTTGAGAAATGTTGCAGGAAATCCAGAAATACATGGGAGTTAAGGGCACGCCAAGGTTTTCGTGTCTCTCAGTACTAGCCTGACGGAATTGCTGAGCCTCAGGTGACTGAAATAGCTACATGGTCCTTTTTTTGGTCTACCTATTCGCGAAGACAACAAGAAAATTAGGTGCTATACCCACTACTTGACGTCTTATGTGAAATCCCCTCCTGATCAATCTGCATAACGTTGTCTACAGTTTTCAGGTCGGAGATAGATGAATTGGAGAGAGCAACGGCAGAGATGGATGCATATGCCACCAAATAGAGTCTGTACGCGGCGTCTTAGTATTTGATATTGAAGTAGAAAGCTTGGACGGATTTTAGAGACTGCCCGGGGATATAGTGAGATGCCTCTTTGCAATTACCGGTTGGCAAAAGCCGAGGCCACTGGATAGCTAGACAATGTGGTGGCCAGCACCAAACTGAGTGCATGCACTCCGCATACAGGTTCATGTTTCTGAGCCTACTTGGTACTGGCAATTGGGGCTTGGTGTCTTCTGAGTATCAGTAGGTCAGTAGGTCCCACTAAAAGTGGAGATATTTCAGATTCCATGCTGTTTCAGGAAATTCCCGCGCAACCAAGAATGTCTCCGCTGCAACAGTTCCCTCGCATCTTCCCTTGTACGCGAGACTGTCACTAAGTCGACACCAATTCTGAAGATCCCGAAAACACCATACCTATGGCCCCCTCCATTGCCCATGCGAAACAGCCGCTGGTGGATCATGTAAGGCTAATCTGTTCATGTTCCAGACCTTAAGTCCGCAGAGACCAGACTTACTTCTCAGCCTCGGCCGCTACGTGCATATGCAGGATAGGCAGTGAGATCACCGACCGGGTATCTACCGATTAGGGGTAGATTTCACGGCGGTCGACAGCTTTCTAAAACTATAAAGGCCCCGAGTTCCTGCACTTGACCTCTAGGAATATCAACCACCTCGAAAACCACGACAGCAGCATACATATTCAACGTTTTCCTGTTTGCCATATCATTAACACAGATCCGAGAAGATAACACCATGGCACCCTCCGCTACGTCTTCAATCGTACAGTCGACCGTTCTTGAATTGGCTGCTGGCTACAAAGAGCTCGTTGGAGAACCTCGCATTGTTGGATTGACAGCGGATCCTAAATTCTCTCGTCTCCTTGACAAAGCCAAGCGTAAGGACTTGAGCCCCAACCTCGGGACGGAGCTGCGTGATGTTCAACTCAAGGACCTCACCAATGATCAGGTCGAAGATCTTGCCGCCTTCGTTTCCACCCGGGGTGTCGTCGTCTTCCGTGACCAGCAGCTTGGCGTCGATGACCACCTCGCATTCGCGCGGCGTCTTGGCGACCTTCAGGAAACGAATCATCCATTTTCCAAAGGACTGCATCCTGCCTTGCTTCCCATAGCCGCTGACAAGGACTCCAAATTTGCTCCCGGCGAGGCATGGCACTCAGACATGTGCGAGGAGCCCTACCCACCAGGATACTCCATCCTGTACATGGAAAAGGTTCCAGCAAGCGGCGGCGATACCTTGTACGCCAATATGTATGCTGCATATGACAAACTCTCCCCGCCCATGAAGAAGTTTCTGGAGGGCAAGACTGCCGTCACTCGCCGTGGCACCAGAAAGTACCGCGGGAACTTGGAGCAGGGCCGAAACACCGCCTGCTCCCATCCGGTTATCAGGACACACCCGGTGACGGGGTGGCAGATGCTGTTCACCAACGAGGCCTGCGCGGTCCACCTGGGCGGCCACTCTCCACTGGAGTCGGAACACATCCTGCGTATGCTGGCACAGCACATTGAGAAGTCGCCCGAATTCCAGATCCGACTTCACTGGGAGGCCCATTCGGTGGCCATCTGGGACAATCGCGCCGTCCAGCACCAAGCCATCTGGGACCACTGGCCCGCCGAGCGCAAGGGCCGTCGTGTCGCTGTCATCGGCGGCAAGCCATACTACGATCCGAATGGGAAGTCGCAGGCCGAGGAGTGGGGTGGGAACCAGGCGCCAAGGTTCTTGCGCCACGCGGAGGAGTAAGACAGGCAATCGCACATCTAATTCTGTCATGCCGTCGATCCTTTCCACAGAGGCAACATGGACGTAAGTCGTCAGACAACGCAGAGCTCATAGGTAATTTTCTTCAACTATATCATGTGACTAAATAAAGATAGCCACGTAGAAAAAGGTGGCAAGGTGTGTTCAGTGTCTTTTTTCTCCACAAGGTTATGGGCTCTCAGCCACGCTATCATTGATTACATGCTTAGGTACATACTCCTTGTACACACACAAAGAGAGAGATAGAAAGAGAGAGACAGAGCACATCACTGAAGACTAATACTTCCAGCTAATTGTTCAACACCCAGGATTCAGGCGACCATCTCTCCACTTCCATCCCGAAATGGCAATTTCTTCGCGGAAAAATTCAACCACCATTTTCGGATTCTCCGTCTCTTATCCCGTCTTACGACGCCGCACGAATATGACTGTAAGAGTCAAGCTACCCAATAGGGCAAATAGATAACTTATTGTGTACCCCGGTCAACATTATCCTCAGAGGGAGGAAGGACACTTGATTCTTGGTCTTGCTCTTCCTTGTCCTGCGTCGTTTGCTATTGGACTCAATCCAGAGTGTGGACCGAGCGTTGGGGGATTTCTTGTGTACGCGAGCAGGGGAGATGTACTTAGCGAGCTCGCCATCGTCATCGTTTCAAGACAGAGAGAAAGTCCCACCCTTTTCTTTTCACACCCCTTTCGAGGCTATTACCTAATATGTGCCTAGAATACTTATCCGTTTCGGGAAATTATCCCGACCCACATTTTAAGTGTCCTTGACCTGCCCCCGCTCTTTTCTTGTGGTGGGGGGCATTGTGCGTCAACTCGCTACTAATGGAAGTATGTGATTCCCTACAGGACGATTATGTCCGTATGCAAACAAGTGTGTACACCATGCACGGAATAATACTTGTGCATGGATCAAATATACAACTCATCAAGAAGTAGGCAAGAAGTTGTGACCAAACTGGCAATGCAATTCTCATGCTAGGATACTCGGTGTCTCAAACTCCTGTCAAAGCTTGCCCGTATCGGGGTTCGACCCGGGAGGGAACCAAGTCGCTTTTTATCCGTTCACAGCCAGAACTTGGCCTTCCTGGTAATTCATTCCTACTGGTCCATGAATTAATATAAGTGTCAGCGGTGTTGCTTAAGTCTTCTTCTGTGTCGCAGTTCAAGTGCCCCGCATCTTCTCAAGGGCATAATTTTTTTTTACCTCGTGTATGCTGTACACGTTACCATGGCTTCCTCTCTGACGTTTCTTTTCTGCATTCAAAGTGGTTTTCACAAAACCTGCAGTGCGCCTGCCTCGATCACAACGAGTTGTCTGTATGTTGGGACTAACCCGACTCTCCGTCGGTGTTGAACGACCTCTCTCTTTTCTCTATCGAAAATTCCTACCTCGATGGCAAGCTTGTCATGACTCAATCTGCGCTGTGAGTACGAGAACAGAAGAATGGATTGCTAGGGGAGTTTTTGCCTTTCCGGACAGCTCGTAAATCACAATTTCCCCCGGCTGTTCTATCCCGCGAAATCCAAGCCTACCTTAGCCAGCTTATGAACGATACCGACCCCGTAGCGTTCGTTTCTGGAATTTTTTTTCTTCCGAGAATGTAATCTTGCCGGGTTTCAAAACCAAAACCAATGAACGTCCGCATAGGCCTCTTATAGCCAATTGCTGGAACAGGTAAAGGGCACAAAGAGTGTCCTTCAAGTGAAGTTCGACAGAGAAAACGAATCTTGTTCGGTGGTGCCAAAGCGCCAGCTGCATGCGAGTTCGCAAGCTCGGTGCCGCTGTTGATCTTCCACCGCTAGGGCTGCGACGACTTTAACGGCAGAGAGCGTGCGTACAGAGTCACCACAGTGGGGTTTCACCAGCCTTTGGTACACTGCGACCTGTAGGACTGAGGCTGAATAAGAGGCGATTACTGACCGGTGACGGGGAATTGGAGATATTGAGTCAAAATCCACAGGAGCGAGATTTGACACGGCAATGACCAAGAGGATGGAATGAAGGATGATCATGGCGGCACCATACACAGCGATGCAATATGAAGTGAAAGTGTCGCGGTATAGATCCTGGGTCGAGGTAATATTTGTGTCAATTTCTCGTGGACACCCATTTTCGGACGGCACTGTAGTGGTTGGAATAGGGCTGTCAGGGAATTGTAGCCAGACGCCATTAGCTTGTGAAAAATGCCACTGCCAGTTTTGTAGCCTGGACATGAGCACTAAGACATCCTTTTCGATTTGGAGCTTAGCGTCTACACTCAGAACGGATAGGTTTCGAATGCAATCCCGTATTGTTTCGCCAGGTTTCTGAGAGGGAAGATGCAGTTCGCGAGAGAATGAGAGAAGGATATCAATGAGCAAGTCCGGAAATATCTTAGGATGGTCAGTGAAGGGAATAGTACTCCAGTCTGATGAGTCGAACCACGAGGGTCGATTCTGCCAGATAGAGTGAAAGGCCTATACCACGAGTGTCAGACATCAACCCTAACCGCGACAGAACATAATTCACAAAGGACCCTTACTTCATAATGCCGCATTGACCGAAATATTCGATGTCCGATCCCAGCACGACAGTCAAAGGGACCTCTGCTTCGGATTATCTCGGTGGCCGCCGTATAATGCGCGGATCGTATATCCGCTGTAATTTCCTTCATCGTCTCAAAGTATTGAAACAGCAGTGGCACACAAATGGCCAAGTAAGATGGGAGCAAGTTCGAGAATTTGTCATCCGATCCCTTTTCGGCCGATGCTCGAGTGCGAGATTGTTGAAGTGTAGCACGGTGGCATTCTAGACCGGCCGAATACCAGCGCATGGCGTCAATTTCGGCCTGTTTGTGGCGGTGTGCGACTGCAAAATAGACTAGAGCGGCAGCCCTGATGGCATACTTCAATGACGGCATGACGTCCATCGACAGGAAGTTGGGCAGCTCCAAGAACCACGATTGCGGGCAATCTGGGTACGTAAGGAAGCGCGCTGTAGTGACAGACTGGACAAATTGACCAACGAAGTGTTGCTCAAAGAGGAGGTTCGTGTTGACTTGTTCGGGTTGGGCCAATTCAAGGAAGGGTGGCCAGATATTGTCTTTGACTGTTTTACACGTGGCAGAAGGACTCTCCTCAGTGGCGGTTTTCCAGGAATCGGCAGTGTTTGGTTCATCATTGTTCACCCACGCTTGGCCTTCCTCGATCGGTGTGTCGGTCTCCTCTGTGCAAGGCGGGTTCGAGCCTGGTGTGCTACGAGAGCTCATAATCGTCACGAGAGGTCGGGGTGAGTTGCTGTTGTCTCTGACGGCGGCAGGCTGCTCAAGTAGTCTGGGTCTCCGATTTTTTCCTTGTGTGATCTTTTCAGTCATGTCCAGGAAGATTGTTCCTTGAATGGGGCCAGAACATTGCAAGCCAAGTCGGGAGCATTCTTGACAGATCGGCGACCTTTCGTCGCACTAGAATCTCTCTAAACATCAGTCCAGTCCTCTTTCCGTTCTGCGTAGAGCTGAGAGGCGGGGGAGTCTATATGGAAGCTCGGAACAGAAGGTCGCAAACCCACCTTGATGTGGCGCTGGACGCATTGCTTGCATCCCTTGCTCCGCGGTGGTCGACTCATGGTCCGTAAATGTGGTTTCACATCACATTCGCCCGGAAGGTTGGACCATATCCAGGTGTCCTACTGTAGGCTTGTTGAACGTCACAGAGGAATATAGTTTCTGAATGAGGCAAAGAGAAGGGGACAGGTGGGTGGTGGTTTCATCTGCCGGCTAGCTACACCAAGGTGTGAAGTGTGAAGGAATCCGGGAGTGGAGCAAGCCGAAGGATCCGCTTCTACTGACCTGGGTGTAGGTACCTCCCTCACTACCTAGTAGGTATGTCGCTAAATGATCATTCGGCTCCAATAGTGTACCTACTTGGTAGGTGAGCAATCAGGGACCGGCACTGGGGCACCGAAAGCACATGCCTAGGCAAGGACATGCACCAAAGGGGCCCTGCACGGCAAGTCCGGCAGGAAACTCATCTAAGGCAATGACGGGTGGTCACGTTGGCACCCCAAACATGGCGTGGGGGAAGCCTAATTAGTGAGCCCTCGGCGCCAATACGATGGCGGGGCCCAAGGCTGGGGTTAGCCTACTGAGTAGTAGCCTAGAAGCCCCCTAGAGCCCCTTGGCCCCGCTTAGCGGCCTGGTGAGCCGTACTGCGGTAGCTACCTCGTACTGGGTACCAAGTACATAAGCGCAAGTGTGGTGAGAGCTTATCGGCCACGATAAGGTTGCTGTGCAGCTGATCAAGCTCTGTGCCCACTAACCCTCGCGTGCCACCATCTGTTCCTGCGAATGATTCACAGCAACTTGGCCGCTTTTTCCAAATCTGTCCACAAATCAACCCATCGCGGAATAGATTTACAAGTTCCTTCAGTCTCATCCCACTCCCTGCTCTCAAGCTGCATCTCATCATGGTCCGCAAAACGTCTTCTGGCTTCTTCTCGTCCATTCATGAAGACATGCCACTTCATGTATCAAGGGGCTATGATCGAATGGTCCAGCACTCCGCCTACCCATCGTCCTCGACACCTCCTAGTCCTCAGAAGGAAAAATTCTCCCCTGAAAGGTATACACAACCTTATCTGGACTTTATGACCCAGAATCCGACCGTCTTCCATGCTGTCGACCATTTCACGGCCAAGCTAGCCAAGGCGGGCTACGTATATCTGTCAGAACGTAAACAGTGGAAGATTGAGCCAGGCGGGAAATACTATACAAAGCGGAACGGCAGTGCGTTCATTGCCTTTGCGGTTGGGAAAGAGTATAAGCCTGGAAATGGTGTCGGAATAGTCGCCGGTCATATCGATGCTCTCACTGCAAAAGTCAAGCCTGTTCCAAAGCTGCAGACAAAAGTTGGGTATGTGCAACTTGGTGTTGCACCCTACGGCGGAGCGATGAACATGACTTGGTGGGATAGAGATCTGGGCATAGGTGGCAAGGTTCTTGTAAAGAACAAGGACGGATTGATAGAGGAGAAGCTTGTCAAACTGGACTGGCCCATTGCGAGGATACCAACCCTCGCACCCCATTTTGGGGCAGCTGCTCAAGGGCCCTTTAACCTCGAAACCAACATGGTTCCAATTATTGGACTTGACAATTCAGACCTATCAGGAAAGGAGCTCCCTTCCCTCAAACTCCCTGCCGGTAGCTTTGTCGCAAGACAACCGGAACGCCTCGTGCGAGCGATTGCAGGAGAATTGGGTGTCACCGAGTATACTTCCATCGTCAACTGGGAACTAGAGCTCTTCGATATCCAGCCCGCCCAGCTTGGTGGTTTGGACAAGGAGTTCATCTTCGCAGGCAGGATTGATGACAAGCTTTGCTGCTTTGCTGCCATTGAAGGGCTTCTGTCTTCCTCTGACGACGCTTCCCCTGGGATCATCAAAATGGTTGGGTGCTTCGACGATGAAGAAGTTGGGAGCTTCTTGAGACAAGGCGCAAGGTCAAACTTCATGCCGAGTGTCATCTCGAGGATCTGTGAGGCGGTGAATGGCTCCAGTGGCCCCAACCTCATCAACCAGACGCTGGCCAATTCGTTCCTTGTCTCTTCTGATGTGTCACATGCAGTCAATCCCAACTTCCTTTACGCATACCTGGAGAATCACTCGCCGCGCTTGAATACTGGAGTGGTGGTGCATGCGGATGCTAATGCGCACATGACAACTGACAGCGTCTCGACTGCCCTAATGTCCCGGATCGCTGAAAAGTGTGGTAGCACCTTGCAAGTATTTCAAATTCGCAATGACAGTCGAAGCGGTGGCACTATTGGGCCCATGACTAGGTACGACTCTCTCCAGCCACGTCTAGATCTAGATGCTAACCGATTTGATGTTTAAAGCTCAAGATTAGGTTGTCGCGCAATCGACTGTGGCATTCCGCAGTTGTCAATGCATTCTATCCGAGCAACCACGGGGTCACTCGATCCTGGTCTCGGAGTTCAATTATACAAAGGCTTCTTCGACTATTACGAGGAGGTCGACGCCGAGTTTGCCCAATGAAATCGGCAGAATTATCTGATCAGGTGTAACAATACCTCGGGAAATAGAGATTAGAGACTTGTGGACATCATTCCAGAAGAGGGTTCAATCCGTCGCCATTCCGATTCTATCTCGCGCAGACCGAACCTACAAATGGGTTTTGCAAGCTCCCTTCATTTCGTTCACCTTCTCTTTTTGCATCGATATCTTGTACTCCCAAACCGCGGATCTCGTGTTCCCACCCCCCAGATCACCTCGGACGTCGTTGGAAAACGCCACACATAATAGTGTTGTGAATGCCGCTACCTTACAAATCCGCCACCGTTGGGCGTAGAGGGACTTCAATACTTCATCAACAACGATATCTGGAGCCAGGGCTATCCTCATATACCTAATTGGAGTTGCCTGAGCTTGGTCAGATTATCGAAGATTATGAGTTTACTCATTTCAAGGCAAAGATTTCGTACACGGATCCACAGCTTCTGTAAAGAGGCATCGGTAGCTTTTTGGACAGCTGGGTGGTTGAGCAATGACAGCATCTGACATGATGACGACTACAGCTTGGATATGTACCATCTCCGTCGGCGAAAAGGTTGCGACATTATGATGCCTGTCAATCTGTCACAGGGCTGCTACTGACATTATTGTCTGTCTCGTCCACCAAATCCGCACTCATGGCCCACAACCCACGAGTAGGCGAAGCTCTTGTGGCCAGGTAAAATGAAAGGCCGATATGGCGCCTAATCAAATGACAATACATCGATCACTTCCAGCGCGAGCACATTTGAAAGTGAGTGGATTCCTATTTATTTGTGCTACGCTGCCCTCGTTGCGATGAGTGTAAAAGACGCCGTGAATGACACCTACTATCAACACCGTAGCTGTCGCCGTTCATTTTCTTAAGCTATCTTTTCCCTTATCTTTTCTATAGATCACCGCTTCGGCGTGGGCTTTTCAAGTATCCTAGCACTACAATAAAGCAGACTCCTCCACTTGGCGCCTGAAACAGAAACTCCCACACAACCAAAATTAACAAGATGAACCGTCTATCGAGCTTCCTCTGCCCCCTCGCTCTCACCGGTTCGCCTGTCTCCATGGCAGGCGCCAATTGCGCCGTTGCTCCAGTAGAGGGTGCTCGCTATAGCTGGAAGATATGATTTTGACCTGAAGGGCTCGCCGGATACCGATCCAAATATGCTATCCTGGAATGACCTAGGTGCACAACGCGTTCATTATGCGAGTGACCAGTGCAACAAGCAGACTCTAACCTCGACGCTTCCGGGAAGAGACCTCTCGGCACTCCCTACTACGTTTCCCGCCGTTGGTTTGTCCTCTGTTGAAGTTCCGCCTCATCCAACGCCAGCACTCTCATCTCTCGCAGGTTCTGCGCCGACAGCATTGACAGGTTCGCTGGTGTCATATCTGATCATATCTTCATCTGCGCCCATGAGCTCACCCTCCCGTCAGCAGCCAGTCCAGACGACCACATGGGTTCCGGTTTCGGATGGGAATGTTGCATCTGGCGGTATGGGTTCGGGCATCACTTCAAGTGTCAGCGTCCCGTTCTTCGCAATTATTCAGCCAACCCCACCGTCACCTGGAGTGCACTTTCAGTCGGCCAAACAATTCGGATTCCTCCCTCGCCAACGGCGCTCCCCAAAGTGAATGGAAAGCTTGCCGAGCAGGTCGTTTACAAAGGTTTCAGAGAGACTATTCCGGTGACGTATCACCAGCTCGGCGGCGATGGTTCTACGGTATAGGGCTGGCTACAAATGAGTGTTTGGATTTCTTTTGACTACTAGTTCAACAACTTGAGGACCTTCATTGGCTAGCGCTGTGCTTATAATGTGGCACCTAATTCCGATGAAGAAACGTGCCGGGTCTACGCTGCTATCCTCTCTGTAGCCGCTTAGCCATGCTTGGATCCGAGGTTCATTCTGGCGGTTGTCATGCAAGAATCTAATGGATTTGTTCGGGTTAAGACAACCACGAATACATTCCCGACCCCGGTCTCTTGTAGAGCTTCTTGAATCACCTATCTACATGCACAGCGGTCAACCCGCTCAACCATTCTATGGTGCCGCCAGATTTTACAACTCAGGCCTAGATAGCTTACCCCTAGAGGCAAGTGGAGATCTTGGTAGCAACATTCAGGGAGCTCCTCGTTGTTATGCTAGTGATATTGCGAATGGGTTAGTTGGTTGTATCAATGAGGAGGATAGTCCCAGTTTCTGCACTCTGAATCAGCAGAGCCGAGGATCAGACAGCTCCACCTGTTTCCTTGTATGTCCTATGGCCTTCTATTTACGCTATGAGGATTGTTGCGGGCGTTTCTCAACCCCGGCC